CTGTATTAACTAGTGAAGAGAGTAGACAGTGAGAGGTTCTATGAAAGACAACAAAGTTAAAGATGACCTGGGGGAGATGCTGGAGGTTATTGTATATAAATCTCTGTCAGTAAATAATTATTTGTGCATAGGACATAAAGGAAGGGAAGAAACAAGCCAGGCAGAGGAAGGGAAGGTTTTCAGACTTGGTAATAGGAAGGGCAGAGCCACTGAGAGAGGAGAGTGCTTTGAAGAAGGCCAGCAATGCTGGAGCAAAGTAGAGCAAAGTGGATGATGTCAATGAAGTGCAAGTGGTGGCTGTGGTAGGGAAAAAGATGGGATGTATATTTTTTTCTATGGCCTTAATGGTCATAGAAGGATATTGGCCTGAATGAGGTGGGAAGGCAAGATGTCTTAGTGGAGGGTGATATAACTTGGCCTATTTTTCTTTTCTTTCCTTTTTTTTTTCTTGCTTTTTCTTTTCCTTTAAAAAAGTTTTTTTTTTTTTTTTTTAATGTGTATGTGTCAGTCCTGAGGCTTGAACACCAGGCTTGTATGCTATCCCTGAGCATTTTTTCCCCTCAAGGCTAGTGCTTTACCACTTGAGTTAAAGGTGCACTTCTAGCTTTTTGGTGATCATTTGGAGATAAGGGTTCCCCGGACTTTCTTGCCCGGCTTTGAGATCCTCAGATCTCAGCCTCCTGCATAGTTAAGATTATAGGTGTGACCTGACTTTTGGCCTATGTTTTAAAAGTACCATGTCAGCAACTGGCTTGAGCCTATATCTGAAGGAAAGGGAAGCGTGATTTCTAAAAAAAATGGATTGTTATGGGTGTGTTATATAAAAGACAAAAAATACGGGCAACAAGATCTTGTGTGGATGAAAGAAGCTGATATTTTGCTGCTATAAGAAGAAATATAGTAAGAATATATTGGTGGATGGGCACAAATTAGCTGGGACATATCAAGTTTGAGATACTAGTTGCATATACTAATGAAGATGCTAATAAGAAATTGGACATTGGAACTGTAACCTCCCTGTACAATTCTTTTTTATTAGACATAAAAATCTGGCAGGAAGGAGATTGGGCTACAGGTAAAAACTTAGGTTTATCCTCTCATAGGTGGTTTTTAAAGCCCCAAGCCTGGAAGAGGTCACTTAGACAGGGGATGTCCAGTACTGGGATACTTAGGGAGCTTAGCAAGGAACTGAGGAGTGGTGAGGGAGGTGGAAGAACCCAAGGAAGTTTCAGAGCTGAGGAAATATTTCAAGAAGTAGTAATTAGTTGTGCTAAGACAATGGATAAGTCAGACTACAGGTAAAGATTTGACCATTGCACTGGGATAGCCAGGACATCGCTTAGGTTCTTAGCAAGAACTACCATGCATGGTAGAGATCAAAGGACCAAGGAGAGAAATTCAGATATTTGAATATATGCAACTCCTCATGGGGAATCTTCTATGAAGGGGAGCAGAGGTTGAAGTTAGAAGTGGGTAGTGAGACCATGAGGGTATCTATAACACAGGAGACACTGCAGCATGAATGTCATGAACTCCTCCAATATGAGGAGACAGTGGTTTTTATAGGAGCGGTTGGGTGGATGTAACCTAGAACAAATGTGGAAAACCTTCCCCGGTCACTTATGGAACTAATGTAGTAATGGGCAATAAGTTTCACTGGATAAGTTTGGGAAATTTAGAAGCCAGGATATTTGCAGGAGCATCTCAGATCTGAAATCAACACAAGTTTAGAAATGTTGGTGTTGGAGGAAACACTGAGCCCAGCACTAAATACTTGAGCAATGAGCAGGGATGACTGAGGGTAATGCAAGGACCTTCCATGCTGGTGGCAAGAGCTTTAGACGCAGTGGGTGATAGGAGGAACAAGGAGAGACCATGGTCTAGAAGTAGACCAAACAGGTATCCTACTACTGTTAATAACTCAGTATGCATATTTTGATAGAGATAACATAAAATAATATTTCATTACATGTATGGGAAGACATAGGCTTAGGGGGCTACCAAAGCATTTCTGATTACTTGGAACAAATATAGAAAGTAGTTTTTGAAGAGTTATTGTACATATGTAGATAAAAGCGACTTGAAATTAACTAAAAAGTATCGGGTTGGAAAGCATGCCATGAAGATACACAAATATAACTAAGTTAGCAATTTTTTGACAATTTAGAATACTTGAAAAACTAAGGTTTTTTTAAAATGAAAACAATTGTAGGTATGGCAAAACCATAATTTTCCCTTTTTATATTGTAACTTGGTATCTTTCTACACTTATGTTAACATTGTAAGTATGACAGCTAAAACATACAAAATACTTTGACAACATCCAGTTTTAAACTTCACCTAGGCTGTCATCTTATTATCTGCAACCACCTATCATTTAAAGGTCTGATTGTGGGTCATGTCTGAGGTTTCTTAAACCATGATTCAAATGACTAATCCTTAAAACTTATCCCAGGGGAAGAGGTAAAGACAGGAACAGAACCTATACAAATAAATGATCCATTGCCAGAAATGAAAACTGACCTCTCCACCAGTATTTGATTGGTTTCATTAGTACAATGCAACTTGGTGTTGATTAAAATAAGCCATCAAAACTAAATTGTCTCACGCAAGGAGTGAATTAGGGTGAAGAGAACTACACAAAGCCAAAAATCTGGAAAATTTGTCTTCGATTGTATTTTCTGGCTTTTATCTAAACGTTTGGCATCATAGACATGAGTCCAAAACTTTGACCTGGGCTTAAAAAGAGTTCAAACAGTATCCTGGAATTTTTGTTGAAAAATACTTGCAAGGAGAGAATTTTATTTTGTTGAATTTTGATCCTTCATGGATTAACATGTGTAGAAGAATAAAGATTAAAGCACAAGGTTATTATCTTGTACTGTTTCATGCTATGCAAATTGTTGAATATTGTAGTTGTCTATGGAAAAATTCCCAGGACAGTGATACAACATGGAAAATATTTGGCAAAAATGTGTAAGCTATCAATTTTGAACCTGCAAATTCTCAAGTGTGTTTGTTCTTTGGTGGGGCTCCTGAAAAAGAGATCAGTTCCTATGAAACCCATGAAATGACAGCCGTTTTTGGAGTTGCTGATACTGCTATACTAACCAAGTCCATATACGCTGGCACTTATGAAACGTATTGGCAGGCAGAGTAAGCTGAATTTATAGACTTTCCTTTTTGGAGTTTATATTGTAATTAGTTTATCTTAGTGGGGTTAGTTTTTGGCTAATTGCTTCTTTTGTAGGTTTTATTTGATTTATTTAGATTTAAATTTTTGAGGAATGAATTGAAAGTTATCTAATAGTTTACAGAAACTATTGAGATACTCAGAATATGGCACCTGAGGGGATTTTGAGATACAGGGAACACGGCAGGGTGGTTCAGAATCATCATCAGCATGTTGTGCATTTTCTCATATTTTCTTGCAGCTAGTTGGGATTAATGTTTGACTAATGACTGTCTTTTTTCTTAAAAATCACATAGCACTCTTACATTTTAAAGCAATCAGCACAAATGCAAGTGATGCCTCTTCAAGCAGACTTTCAAAGACAGCACACGCCACTAACACAAAGAGCTCTTCCACACTGGGAGATTCCAGGCACAGAAACTGGTACACAATAATAGTAGGAGAAACTGTTTTTTCTTTTTACTATGGAATGTGAGGTCAGCCTTTTCTTGTCTGCTAGAGGACAAACCCAAAATGGCTCTAGCCTGAATATCACACCTTTTTCTAATCTGCATAGGAGGAACTGAGACACAATTACCAATGAGTCACAAGAGCAGACAGAAAACTGTTAGTAGGTTGTGACATCCAGAAATTAAGATGTTTTTAAATACATGTACTTGATGCAGTGTAAAGAGTGCATCTTACAACACAAAGCAGTGTCAAAGTGTTAGAAAAATGGAGCCCCTGTCAATCTATTGTCAGTCTACCCTTGTGAGATTTTACCCATACCTTAATCTACTTGGTTGAAAAAAAGAGTTCTAGGTCTTCTTAAGCATTACTTAAAAGTTTTTAAGAAAAATAATGAGACCTATCTAAACAGGGCCATCAGATTTTAAATGGAACTCAGTGTGACTTGTCTTCATTTATGTTGTATATATTGACAGTGATCTGAATGGAAATAATATGAGAAGGTTCATTATTAAAGAGCTGTATAGTTCAGCTATGTCTCCCACACACAGGATGCAGGTATCCAAGCTACAATATCCTGTCCTTACCAGCAGTGAGGTTCATATGCCAGACCCTGAACCAAAATTATGGTGTGAGCAGACACAGTAGGCTTGTAGACGGTTATCCAGTTTTTGAAGCAAGGACTAAGAGATGTAGCAAAACTTAAAGCTTTCTTTGAAAGGAAATAAAAAGAGACTATGCCTCTAGGAATATCGAAATGAAAGACATTTTTGTGATGATGCTTTAAGAGAGGTGAAGTTTATCCCCCTCTATAAAAAGAATTAGAATCAAACTAAAAAATTAGGAATTGTATGAATGAACTATAAGGACAAGAATCTCATATATTCTACCTGGTCTTGGCTTACTGTGTCAGGGCTGAATCCTGTCGTGATAGAAGATGACCTAGTTTTTGTTTTTGTTTTTATTTTTGTTTTTGTTGTTGTTGGTGGTGGTGTGGGGCTTGAGCTCAGGGCCTGGGCACTGTCCCTCAGCTCTTTTATTCAAGGCTAGCACTCTATCACTTTGAGCCACAGATCTACTTCCAGTTTTTGAGTGGTTAATTGGAGAAAAAGAGTCTCACAGGGACTTTTCTGCTTGGGCTGGCTTTGAATTGGGATCCTCAGATCTCAGCCTCTTAAGTAGCTAGGATTAGAGGCATGAGTCACTAGTGCCCAGCTGGAATGTCTATTTTTGAAGGAAAAAACTTCAAAGAATTCTACAAGTAGGTATTAAGGAGCACATATTTGTGGAGGCCCTTGTAAATTTGAGTTGGCCTTATATTCATTGTAGAATGTTTGTACAAAAATATAAAAGGCGTGACTTGATGTTTAACATCTGTGTTTTATTTTTGTTGGCACCAGAAAAGCTCATGTTCTATGTTATGTCACTGTACATACTGTAAACAAGACTGCATTATAGTTTTTCTTATGATCTTTTTGTTTCAGTGAATCTAGGTTTTAAAAAATACATTCACAAACTACCTTATGTTTAAACACAATGAATCCCTTTTATTTCTTAACTGTACCCAAAAATCCCACAATAAAAAAATCATTTAAAGCTGTGTGTTTCAAACTTATCACTTAGAAATAAAAAGAACAACAACAATATGAAACATAAAAACAAAGATCAGTTTGCAACATAATTTCAAGAAGCTTCTGATTTAAAATACCACAGCAGCAATATAAAGAGCTGGTGGCAATCACATTTGGAGACAAGACCCAAATAATATATTTTGTCCGTGTTGGCATTCAATTACAGTAGTTGCTAGATTCAATCCAAAGTTTTATTGTTGAATTTGTTGCATGAAAATTGTAGAGATAGCATTGTTCAGCAGCATCACCACAGCAGTAAAAATGAGAACGGGAGGATTTCATTACTTTTGAGAGCTAAAGGGAATGTGATGGGGACATCTTGGTGTCACCTTAAGAAAATCCTGTTTCATTCCTGGGTGTTACCTGCTTAAAATGAATGCAAATGACAGCCACCTTTTGGGAAGGGAGGACATAATCATTTAGTCCAGAACCTAGAATATCCCTCTTCCCTCCCCTCTTGCCCAAACTACCAGATTGAAATGGCCCCATTTTTTCCTAATGTAGGCTTCGTTCTCATTAATAGTATATCAGCTGCTCATGTATTTAGACAAAATCCACAGGATCATAGGTTTTATTTATTTTTAAAAATTCATTTACAATATTTGCTTTCTCCCAAAAACAAGCATATTGGTTTCTGTCCTTGGATTTTTTCCCCTCATTTTTTTTTAAAGAACAATTTAGTCAACTACTGTTTTTTTTTTTAAATATTAAATACACCTGAGATTGCCAGTTGAGCTCTCTATATGTCTCCTGGAGATAACACTGCTGTGATGAACAGTGAACAAAAACAAACAAAACGAGGTAGGTTAAAACAGGAAGCGTAACACAGATATTGTTTTGCAACACCTTGATACCACAGGCGGCCATGCTTGTAGCTTTGGAAAAAAATCCCAGACAGTCACGTAAAAGTTCAAATCATTCGAATAAGAGTTTATAAAGACACAAGTCAACCTGAACTAAATACATACTTATCTTTGCACGGATGTTGTTTACTGTATGTTGGGAAATTTGAAGGAAGGTAAAGTGATTAGGGTCTCAGAATTTTGGCCAAAGCCTTGCTTTCAAGTTCTCTAAAATCTGAGCCAACGATGCCACTGTGTCTCAGGCAGGCTTAGTACTGTAGCTTCTTTTCTTGCCCAACCAGGGAGAGCATGGGCAGCTTTCTTTAGTAATTCTTTGCGGTCACAGTTTTCATCTTGAGAAAGTGGCACCCTCAGGAGAGAGCTGGGAATGTCCAGAGCCTGGATGTCATGCATTCCCCAGTTCCCAGAAAGAACTCATTAATCTCAGTTCTAGCTAAGCTCAAATCAAGTGACCTCTTAACTGGGAGGCTTTGTGCATTTTAAAAAAAGGAGGTGTGTATATTTACATAGATGTCTAAGCTTGTTTCCCAGAAGCTCTTTCTGTCTGGCCTGATCTGTCTTTCCCATCTGCTGCCCTGATCTGTTGCATAATGGCTGAGGGAATTTGCATCACAGCATCCTCAATCTCTAGGCCCACTCCACTCGCTGGGTTTTTATCCCACTCAGCACTTCATTCTATAAAGACCATAGGAAAATATGGCCAGTTGTACTCACAAAGCAGTAGTTGATTTTATTAGACTAAGGCTAGTAGTTTAGCCATTTAAAATCTATTTCCCAAAAGAGGGGAAAACTAGTATTTTTCTTCTCTTAAAAATTCATTAGCCAGTTGCTATCAAAAAGCAACCTGGGGTTGGTGAAGGCAAAAGAGTTCTTAAATCACCCCACTAATGTTGTTATGGCCTTCATTGTAAGGAGATTAGGTACATTTATTGTGCTGTCTCTCACCATCAGAAATTAGAAATTTTACAACATACCATATACTTAAAACTAGCAGGCAGACAGAATTAAAGACAGACTCATTTTCTCAGTATGCGTTCTCTCCCCATTCTTACAAAGTTAGGGGGTAAAGGAAAAAAGGTCAAAACAAAACTCAAAAGCCACCATAACACAGCTTAATCATAAGAGCACACAATATTTGTTTCTATCCCTAACTTTGAAGGGCACATGGTCCATCTCTGTCCACAGACAACGCAGCATCCTTGGGGATCTCCCAGACATTCCTGCCAACTTTTTTTCTCCTTCTCAACCAGGCTGCAACACTGAAAGATGGACTGCATTGGGAAGGGTGGAGGGACAGGAAAAGGGAAAGCAGTATGTTCAACCAAGCCTTCTGATTCTGCCTCTAGACTGGCATAAGTCCACATGAGTTATGTTCTTTTACATTAGAAATAACGCCATGAAGATAAGTGCCAAGTGCTCTTCTGTTACCAGTTCATCATGGAATTTCTGTTGAGGGTCATGAAAAACACTTGGCTACTTCCTCCAGATCGCACGGATGCAAAAAATACCTGTTTGAAATTAAAAACAAGTTAGTTCAACTGAATGGTTTTTTTCCCCTCTTTTTCCAACTGTCCATCCACTTCCTTTCATATGTTCTATCCTTGACATGTGTCAGCTCTTAAGACTCAATGGCCAGTGGTTATATAATGACTCAAGAGTGCATCTTATATAAACAGTCCTGTTTTATTGATATCACTATTATCAGTATTATTGCAGTACTGGCCTCCAAGGACTCTTCAGTTGCTATATCATGACTTGAAACATCTTTTTGAAGGTTCACATTTGAAGAGGGAATTTTGTGCTAGGATAATGTGGCCTGGGCCACTGATGATTTCTACAAAGGCACAAAGACACCCTTTCTTTCCCTTATAAGTAACAAAAAGGGAGACTTCAGGATGGAAGAGAATCCTCCCAAGTTTTCAAAGTTACAGGCAAATTTCATGCCTACTGGCCACTGTACAACTTGTTTTAAATTTTCAGGATTTAAAATGTGGTCAGACAGGTTAAGATGTTGAATGCCTATTCAGTGTGCCATTTCAGGAGTTAATAATTTCTCTGCAGATGCTGGCACGCCCCAGGTCAAATGAGATAATGGTATTAATAAGCAGAACCATAATCTAGGAGGTCTGAATCTGCTCAATCATTTTATCAAATGATTGGGAGAAGTAAGCAAAATTTGGGGGTACTGACTGCTTGAGCTGAATGTCAATGAACCACTGCCCCAGGAAAAATAATATTTTGGGCTGTGGTATAGCCCTTCAGTCAGCTAACACCTAACTTTGATCCAAGGCATTTGCTTTTGTCACTAGTATAAAGTCTCTGCTAATTCATTTCCACGGCTCTTTTGGGAGAATGTTCTCTCCCAAAAACTTCGTAAGAAGCCTGTGGAAATTTTTTGTCATCAGCTAATGCTACATATGAAGGTAGAGCTACTCTTAGGGTCAGTGAATCAAAATACAGGACAGAGAGGGCCTGTGTAAAACCACAACGAAAGAAAGCAATGCTGTTCTTTCCAGTTTGGGGATCTTGGGCTCTAAATCTCAGGTCCTTGGTACTGGCCTGGTCCTAGCCTTCTCCGAGGGTATGGGTCTGATTTGGAATAGGACTGATACGGTAAATCATCAAGGAACCAGAGTGTGGGGTGTCCATGCCAAAATCACTCCTTGTTGTATGATTCCCCAGAGACTGGGTAAATGGTGGAGTCTTACTAGTTAGATCTGTTTTCAGACATGATTTATTAAGTCCCTGGTTCCATCCTTGCCATGCACAGCTGTTGTCCATCTAGACCACATGGGTCAGAGTATTTGGCCAGTCAAATAGTCCAGACCTGTACTACCAGGACTGGACAAAGACCAGCCTGGTCTCAGGGGAATCAGAGCAAGTCAGGATTTAACTATGGGTATTTCTGGCTGTTGCTTTGGGTTCAGTGCGGTTGCGTTAGGTGTAGCTACAAAGGATGGATTCACGAGTATATTATAGCCTGACTTCTAAAAACTCTAGGTTACTCTAGATGAAGGACATTGCTTCAGGATTCCCCTCTGAGGTGATCAATCATGCCAGATGGACACAGCACTTTCACTGGAAAACAATCCCCCTTTGACGTTTTGGAAGCAACATGGCTGGAATGACACAGGACATGGCACTAGTTGAGTTTGTGAGTGTGGATTTTTTTTTTAAGTAATAAGTGACACTTTAAAAGTCAATATTTCTTTCTGCATGTCAGATTTTTTTTATTAATTAGGTCCAGATAGAAACTTTATGAAAAGCCTAAAAATGGAAGTGTAAAGGTGACCCACTATGAGATGATTAATGATGGGCCAACTGTGCTAAGTGCCTAGGCGAATTTGGGGTAACTGCTGCGTCACTACAAGGCCTACCGGCCACAAAAGTTACTACAAGTTTACAAGATATTTCTAGATGTTTTATGTTCATTTTGATATGATACTTTTGAGTGTTCATGTGAACCAAACCAAATAATGCCATATTAAGATAATACTGACTGTTTAACACAGAGGTGATTTAAATCAGTATAAAGGAAAATGAAGGTTTCACAGGTACCTGGTGGTCTCTTAAAATGCAAACACTAATGCAAATGTTGAAACGGATTTACCTTATCATTTCTTTCACATAGAAACTTTAACCTTTGAGCTCGCTTATGCATAAATACTCCATCCAAATGTCCTGTTTCCACTGACCGGATCTCAATAGCTTTCTCGCCCCAGCCCATTATCTGATTGGAATGAATGTAGGCTGTCAAAAGGAATTTCCAAAACTGCATTAAAAACATTAGATAGGCAATAACTCACAGCATCTGTTCACATCTTAACCACAAAAATGACAAATGATTTGAGATAAACAGACAAAGCAAGTCTTACAAGTGTTATTCACAGATTTTTTTTTTTTTTTGGTGTGGAATCAAATGGTTGTTTCACATTTCTTGACTTTTGTTTCATTTGGGGGGTGTAACTGTTGAAGGAGATAAGGAATGGTTAACCTACCCACAGACGTGGGCATTTCTCCCCATTGGAGCACCACATCCTTTGTTATCCGGCCATAGGTGTTCACATATACCCCCTCATCCTCATAGCAAACAAGCATTTCCATTCCATCTGTTTTAGGCAAGATGACAATAGCATGAGGAGTGATATTGCCCTGAATCTAGAAGACAAAGAAAGGCAAAGCATTATTATTTTTTTAAATAAGATAACCCTTTGACTTTTAGCTCTAAGAGGTGAAAAAAGTATTTCCCCCATTTTCACTCTAGAGATAGAAATTTTCTTTGTTAAACATAATCAGCTACTGATCTGTGCAATGTTCTGATAAACGGAAGTTGCTAGATCAAGAATCCAATTAATTGGTCCAACTAACGGTGACCTTGTATCCATGGAGCACCTAGCCTGTACCGATCACTGGATCAATTATATTTATGTATGTGATTTCTAGTTCTCACAACAGTGCTACTGTTGTTATCTTGTGTACACATGAGAAAACTACATCTCAGGAGTGTTCTGTAACTTGCCCAGAGCTGTGCTGGTATTTGCTGGTAGAATTAGGAGTTGAATGCATGTTTTCCAGACATTGAAATGTATTTGTTTTCCACTAGAACAAGTAAACATGAGGAGAATTCAAGTCTTCTATCAGACTATGAGTATATAATCCAGATTACTTATCTGGGTGCCTGATTGCCAGAATAATCCAAATGAATAGTTTGTTTAGAAACAAAAGTTACATGATCTCATATTGAAAAAAAATACTACTACTAAACTATGTATAGATTGAGAGAGAGAGGTGGTCTACTGTGGCCCCCAGGTTCACAGGTCCCTGTGCACAGGAGTGTGGGATGGAGATGGTTTCAAGAATGCATCAGCTGTGACCACACTACTTCCAAACAGGCAAACGACTGTATTGCAGTGATGAGTGATAATTGTACATATGCATGTCTGTATATAAAGTACTAAAACAACTTTTACAAAGGATTGTACTTTAAATTCTTCAAGCTCTTATCTGAACACAGGTGGCTCACAACTGTAATCCTAGCTACTAAATAGGCTAAAATATCTCCAATAAATTTGTCTCCAGTAAATTACCAAAAAAGCCAGAAGTGGAGCTGTGGCTTAAGTGGTAGAACACTAGTTTTGAGCAAAGGAAGCTCAGGGACAGTGCCCAGGCCCTGAGTTCAAGCCCCCAGAACCACCACACACTCAAAAAATGTCTTCAAGTTCTCAAAATAGCAGTCAACAATGGGCTAAGTCTTAGATTTCCCTGGCAGTTTCCACTGTATGTTAGCCTTGTGATTATGTGCTACATGATATAATGTTAACATTGCATTAGTTCTAATAAGAGGATTAATAAGCATTTCCCTAGTTATACTTTAGGGAATGTATAGTAATTTGAATACTATATTAATAAAAAGAACTATAATTTGTAAGGCCCAGTGCTAGATATGTTTGATCGATATCCTATAGGATATCGTATATCCTATATCCTATAGGATAGGTCCTTTTATTCCCATTTAAAGATGTGAAAGCTGAAGTCTTTCATTGTTTGTGAAGTTCATGCATGGTAGAAACACTGAGCTCCAGTGTATCTAACTCTACTATAGCACACTGCCTTCAGAATGGTAAGACAAATTAAAACTAGTAGATAAGACATTTTTTGAAAAAATTAGAACTTGACTATTGATTGACATTCTCCTCCCACATATAATGAGCCAATGTCTCTTTAAAAACAAATCCCTGAAAATTGAAACATATATTATACAAATGTATACCCTTAAAGGAAACAATTTTATGTATTTTAATGTCTAAAGTCCAGAGACAATAGAGTAATCATCTAATAATTTCTATTATTTCTACTCTATTCCAGTTTTAGGAAGTAAAAAAATTAGTAATAAAAATAGCTTTACATGTGTTACTTATTAAAAACATTTTTTTTTTTGAGTCCGGTCGCGGGGCCTGAACTCTAGGCCTGGGCGCTGTCCCTCAGCTCTTCAGCTAAAGTGGTAGAGCACTAGTGCTCTACCACTTGAGCCATAGCACCACTTCCGGCTTTTTTCTTTTTGCTTATGTGGTGCTGAGGAATCGAACCCAGGGCCTCAGGCATGCAAGGCAAGCGCTCTACCACTAAGCCACCTTCCCAGCCCCTTATTAAAAACATTTTATCTGTTACTGATAAGTAAGTTTATATAACTTCTACTGAATACATATAAAGTTTATATAACTTCTACTGAATACATATAAAACCAAATCCTTTTTCCACAAAGGCCAGTAGACAGAGAACCCTGGCTCTGGATACTTACATGAGATGGTATATAGATATCATAGGAGTTTCCCGAATCAACATCAATTACATGGAAACCAGTGTGTGAGCCAAAAATAACCTTTAATCTTTGACCTTCTTCTACAGTGAGATCAACTAGCAGAGGCTTGTGCTGGAGATCTGCAAAAGACTTTAAAAGTTCCCCCATTAGTATCTACATCATTCAAAGAGGTTATCTTAATGATTTCCTTACTGTCTAGGGAATATTCACTTCACTTTCCTTCAGTTGAAAAGCTAGAAGATATCTCTTCTACTTAAGTTTGACTCCCATCCTGGACTTTGATTCATTTCTGTTTCTTTTTCTACCTCCTGTCCTCCAGGACATAGAATATAACTGTCAATTTAAATAGTGCCAATTGTATATTAAAAACCTGGTACCTGTGGGTACTGCTGTTCTTTCCTGTTTATTTTTGGCCTTTGTCCTCCAGAGAAGATCCAGTTACTCTTTTTCCCCTCTGGTCCCTGTAGCAATCAGGCCTATCTATGCTTTCTACTTTTCAGAAAAGCCTGGGCTAGGTAACGAGGGCCTGCTAGCTGCTAAACCTGTTCAGAATTAGTGGGAATGCTTTGGTTAGTTTTCTTTCTATGATTGAGTGGGTGTCAGAGTAGTACTTTAATAACCTTAAATTTGGGTGTTAAGAGTAGGTGAAGATGAAACACAAGCTTTGTATTGCCTACTGGAGTTTAACTAGAAAAGAGGAAATGAGAGCTCTAGCAAGTTAATCAAGATTCTGTATACTTGGACCCAAGGCCCAACCATGCACGAGCTAGCTATGAAGTGTTCCTCTGTTGCATTTTAAAAAATTGTATTTTTATTATATTTAATTATACAAAAGGGTACCATTCAACAAATCAGTTTATAAGTACAATGCTGCTCTTTTGTACATTTTTAATTATATTTTTGGGTCCAGTTGTGGTGCCTGAACTCTGGGCCTGGGCACTGTCTCTCAGCTCTTCAGCTCAAGGCTAGCACTCTACCACTTGAGCTACAGTGCCACTTCCGGGTTTTTTCCTTTTGCTTATGTGGTGCTGAGGAATTGAACCCAGGGCCTCAGGCATGCAAGGCAAGCGCTCTACCACTGAGCCAACTTCCCAGCCCCTTTAATTATATTTTTAAGTAGTTGTATAAAGAAGTTCCCTTTCTACAAAACAGTATATGAGTACAAGCTGTCTGACAACATTGTCACCCATTGCTCCTAACCCATCCCTCTCTTACTTTTTAAAAAAAATTGAGATTAGGTGATTATATAAATTTCACATATTTCACAGTATTGTGGAATAGTGACACTTAGTTAAAGTCACAAACACATTTTAACCTTCACAAGGCAAATTGTCATTATCATGGTCTATAAAGTTTGTGAATTCTATGAGCTTTGACAATATGTTATTTCTTCCACATCAGGTGAAGTTTATATTTCTTTTCTTTTGCTTAGTGTAGGCCTGTCCTTCTTTCCCTCTCATTTCTCCCTTCCCATCACCTCTGTTGCATTTTACTATGACTTAATCATCTGGCACCTTTCTGGGTCCTGAAACCTAGAGGAAGATTTGAGACAGGCCTCCTATCATCTGTTTATGTTCATCTGTGTTAATATTCTCACATCACAGGAAGTATGCACCTTATGTCCTATCCCTGCTAGATTTAGGCCTTTGTTCTTCCCTCTTTCCAGGCTGGGTCTGGTGTGCAGAACTGAGTATTTTGTACTTTCTCATTTGCCTTGTTGAACACTGACAGAAATGACTTAACAATCAAAATGGGAATGGGATTTTGGTTGAAAAGCTTTTTTGGAGAGATTTGTGCAGATCAGCAGTACATATTAGCTTTTAGGAGTCGTTTCTTAGCAGTTTTGAACCTTAATGCATTGCAACAATTTCATTCCATGAAAGTGGAATTATGGATGGTAGTGTTTTTCCATTGTTGAATTTATCTTCCAGAATACATCACAGGTGGACTACCTGCACCAACGGAATAAGATAGAAATGGGGACATTCAGGGCCACAAAAGGGCTGACAGTGTTCCCAGGGAAGGTTTTGTGACAGGAAAGAGAAAAGAGATGAAGGGAGGCAACAATCAGGAAGATGAGAAAAACTCTGTGTATGGGAGGGGGGGGGGGTGGGAGGGGGAGGGGGAGGAGGGAAGGAGAGGAGAGATTCACACTGGATATGGCTAGACTATGTGGTGCCAAACCAATCAGGTGCTTGAAAGTACTAGTCCTGGAATTTGGGGGCAGCGTTTTATGAATTGGGGTCAGTAGTAGCATGTCCATAACTCATTCTTGTGGAGTGACCAATCCAACTATGATAAATACAAGGTAAAAAAATACCAAGAAAGTAATTTCTATAAGTGACTACGTTAAGTATCCAGTTCAGAGACACTGATAAAGGGGATCTGTGAACATCAACTGAGATTTTGAAACTTTCTTCAGAAAGGCCCATGATGATTAGAAGGTTTGTGTTGGTACTGGGGTTGAACTCAGGGGCTTGCACTCTTGCTTTGCTTTTTTGCTCAAGGCTGGCACTCTACCACTTGAGCCACAACTCCACTGATAAGAAGTGATGCCAACAGTCTACTTTTGTTAGACAAAACACCAGGCAGTACTCAAGAAGCCCTGTTTAATAATGATGATATATCAATATTGTGCAATTGGTAATGATTCCATAAAAAATGCCTCTTGAAGTCAATCATTATTAGACCTCAAATGGAGGTCAAATACAAGTTTTAATTTGACAAATTATATGACATTTTAAATATTTACTCTTCTAGTAAGTCTAAGAAACACTTTAAAAAGTCTAATGGAGGGCTGGGAAGGTGGCTCAGTGGTAGAGTGCTTGCCTTGCCTTGCATGCATGAGTACCTGGGGTTAGATTCCTCAGCACCATATAAGCAGAAAAAGCTGGAAATGGCGCTGTGGCTCAAGTGGTAGAGTGCTAGCCTTGAGTTAAAGAGCTGAGGGACAGCACCCAGACCCAGAGTTTAGGCTCCATGACCGACCAGCGTGTGCGCGCACACACACACACACACACACACACACACACACACACACACACACACACACACACACAGTCTAATCAATATAATAAAATTGGAATTGGTCTATATGGAGCACAGACCATTGGTGAAACTGAAACTGAAAATCCAAGCACATGTCTGCTTACCTTAAATGCCATGAACTTGTGATATGGTTTAGGAGCCCAGGCATATATTTCCACAGCATTCTTTAAGGCAATTACCAAGAATTTGATCCTTTCATATTTAACTGTAACAAGAAAGTTAAGAATCAGAAAGTACATCAGTTTATTGAGTTATTTCTGTGTTCAGGAATGTCTGAGCCACAAGATGTAGTTACATATCCATATATCTCTATAGTAGAGGATGATGCTCATGATGCAGGATTGTCTCCACAGACAGATTTCGTTTTCTTTAATGTACTTGGTTAGCATGGTACTTGGGTCTTTAGCTTTATATTGAAGGCTTTTTTCTTCATCTCAAGATGTAACTACTTGTCATCTTTTCTAAACTTAGATATGAAAAATCACTATGATAGGAACCTGTACCTTTCCCTAATGTTGTTTATTTACATTACTCTGCCTGACTTTTATGTTTACTTGACTATAAGTAACTGAGAGCTAGTAGGCCAGGATGGTTGAAAAATTAGCAAAGGAGAGATGCCATCTGCTTATTATTCTTTTTTTTTTGTTGTTGGTTCTGGGGCTTGAACCCTGGGCCTGAGTGCTGTCCATGAGCTCAAGGCTAGGGCCCTATCAACTTGAGCAACAGCATCACTTCCGGTTTTCTAGTGGCTAATTGGATATAAGAGTCTCTTGGACTTTCCTGCTTGGGCTGGCAGATAATTCAGTATGACAATGGTTTTGAATGTATTTTTGCAAGAAATCTGGTTTGGGGAATATTATATATATATTTTATATATAAATATAACACATGAATATATGTTATATAAATATATAATATATTTAAATATATTTTATATATTTAATGCATTTTTAAAATGGTTATTATAAAGGTGATGTATAGAGGGATTACAGTTGCATAAATCAGATAAAGAGTACATTTCTTTTAGAACAATGTCACCCTTCCTTCCCTCTCTCCCAGTTTTTCCCTCCTGTTCCACCCACAAGTTGTATAGTTCATTTCAACATAGTATCATTGCTGCATTTGTTTATCCTTATCCCACCAGTTCTGTGCCCCTCCCCATTACTTTCCCGAAGACAGATGAACAAATGACAGAAAACAAAAACAGCAACAAAGAAAAAACGTCTGGTTTCCATTTCCTGTAGTTTATTCGATGAATATTTTATATGATCAGATGCACATATGTATTATGCCTTTTGAGTTTCTTCTTAATTGGTGTGTCTTATGTGTCTTGGTAACCATAAAGATCTATATTTATTGTGATGTCCTTGGGAGGTCACAACATTCTTTAAATGTCCTCTAGACCTTTCACTACTAAATGTAGAATCTAATTATTAGAAAATTTATAATCTACAATGGATACCTATGCTTGTCAATTACTTCATAATATTTGTATAACAGAAATATCCTATATTCTAAGGAAACTGGGTAGGGAAAGTAAAATCTAATATACTTAGATGACACCTTAGATATCTGGCTGTCTCCAGCCAGATAATTTTTTATCAAACAACTCTTTATGAACTATTCTCTGATCTCCTTATTTGAGACCAAGGAAAAGATCCACAGTCAAGGCGTAAAATACCATGAATATAAAAACTTAGGTAAGTGCATACATCTAAGAGAAAAAAATACCCATAATCTTTCGGATACTTGGTCTGTAATTGTTCTTTTGTGTGTGTATGTGTGTGTATCAATATCTACCTACCTATAGCTACATTATCTATGTATCTATATCGTATCTACCTCCTTAAATTTTTGTGCCTGTACTGGGGTTGAACTAAGGCACTATCCTTTACCTTTTTGGGCCACAGCTCCACTTTTGGCTTTTTGTTGGTTAGTTGGAGGTAAGAGTTGCATGGACTTTCCTACCTAGCTGGCTTCAGACCATAAACCTCAGAGTAGCTAGGATTATCATGTATATTTTTGAAATATCATAGCAACTTGAGAATAATACTAATGTGCTACAAGGAGATTTATTTCAGTGTTGACTAGAATCTTACAAAAAAAAAGCAAAATAGAGATTATGTATGATTCTTTGGATACCATGAGAAAAAATGTTTCTGAAAATTGATGTGGTCTCAATTTTCTGATAGATAATTATTAGTTATTGCTCTCTAGCTACATTTCAGTTTCCACCTTCTGGTTATAGATCAGTCTTGTAAAGGCAAATAAAAAAGATAGCTGTCATTAGAAGAAGTCAGAAATATTAGAAAAACTACAGAAGTTTTGTGGGGGGACTTTTGTAGAATCATGTTTTTGAAAAACAACTTTCTAAACATAAATAATGTTCAGAAATTTTATTTCCTGAAATAAATTTTATTACTCTATAATCATATAATATTAATTTGTGTATAGGAAATTTGATTAATATATTTAGGTTAAAATATTCCAAATAAACAAGGTAAAGGAAGATCTTACAAGTTTTATCAGAGAAATTTTTAGAGGCACCTTTAAAATTGCTTCCATAATGCAGTTAAATTATATTTCTTTCCTATGAAAGCAAAGCATATTGTCAAAGAAGCCCATGATCTCCACATATGCATATGAATCTGACTTTTACCAGCTGTGAGTATGGTGGGTGTATGTTTAATGCTTTACCCAATTATCAGGTTGAAGGCAAGAAAAATTAGGATTCCAGGGTTTCTAGTTAGAGAGTTGTAGCTAATTTTGATTCCAAAAACACATAGTGAGGCAGAGATAATAACTTGTATATCACTGGTTTGATATGGAAGAACACTCTCCTTGTGCAGTCTGGTTTGTGAGCAATACTGTGAACATCTCTTTTCTTAAACAAATGCTGTTTTATTTTTATCTATGTGTTGTCACTGTGCTTGGGTATTGGGTATGCTCAGCTGGAGGGTGGGGGCATACCTGTTACTCAGGAGCCTGAAATCCAGAGGATCAAGGTTTGAAGCTAACCTAGGCAGAAAAGTCTATCTAAAAAATAACCAGCAAAAAGCTGGGTGAGAGATGTGGCTTAAGTGCTGGAGCTCCAGCCAAGCAAGTAAGGTCTTGAGGTCCTGAGTTCAAACCTGGTACTGCTACCATTTTTTTTCCTCCAAAAGTTACTTTAAATGCTTATCAGTAAGCTTTTTCTGAAAATAATTCCCAAATGATGTGTTGTTACCCATTGACAGAGGGCAGCATATTCTTTCAGACACTTGAACCTTATCAATTGCCAAGCTAAGGTGGAAGGTCGCTTGGAATAAACTTAGAAGGAAGGGATGTAGTGGGCTTTACCTGATCAAATGAAAAAGAAAAAATAGAATGAAGAGTCTGAGCCTCTGGCCTATTTGGGCTGAAGAATTAGGTCTTTTCTGGCTTTGAATCATCACTACTTCCTGGGTATTCAGCCTTCTGACTTTTTCTGACTGATCCACACCATCAGTTCTTCTGGTTCCCAGTCCTTTGGACTTGGACTAGCATTCTACCATTGACTCTACTAAGAGATGTGTCTGCTTTGCTGCCTGTAGATCTTGGGATAGCTCAGTTACCATAACTGAATCAATCCTTTGTAATTAATCAATCAACCAATCAATCCTACTCTACACACACACACACACACACACACACACACACACACACACACACACACACACACACACACACACACACACACACACACACACACACACACACACACACACACGGTTCAGTTTTTTTTTCCTTGGGAACTATCAGTGTTACTTTATGGGTTATAAAATATGAGTTGGAAATAATTTAGCCTTTGAAATTTTAAATTTTTGCTTGTCCATTTTCTAAGATTCTAGTGTGACTACTGAAGAATCCCAGGCTCCTCTGATTCTGAGAATATTGTCTGTAAACTATTAATTTTTAATCTGGAAGATTTAGGACTTTCTCATTTCTTCGGTCATGAAATATTATGTCTATGTCTTCTTATCAGTTTTTTTTTGTTACAGAATCAGTCAAAGAATTGTTTTACCTAGGATTTCAGGAAGAATTAAAAAAAATTCTTGGATACTTTATTCTGTGTGTGTGTGTGTGTGTGTGTGTGTGTGTGTGTGTGTGTGTGTGTGTGTGTGTGTGTGTGTGTGTGTGTGTGTGTGTGTGTGTGTGTGTGTGTGTGTGTGTGTGTGTGTGTGTGTGTGTGTTAGTACTGGGGCTTGAACTTGGAGTCTTGGTGCCTGTCCCTGAGCACTTTTGCTCAAGGCTAGCGCTCTACCACTTGAGCCACAGCTCCATTTCCAGCATTTTGTGGTTAATCGGTAAGTCTCATAGACTTTTCCTGTACAAGTTGGTTTCAAACAGTGACTCTCAGATCTCAACCTGGAGTAACTAGGATAACAGTCATGAGCCATTAGTGCTGGGCTTTTAAAGGTGCAGCCCAGGTTGGTTTTGAATTTGTGATACTCTGGCCTCATCTTCTTTGTTAATTACTGGCCTGTGCCACTATACTGGCAGTTTGGGTTTTTGTTGTTGTTGTTTTTTAAAGCTATTATGGTCTGGGAAGGTAGCTCAGTGGTAGAATGCTTGCCTTGCATGCATGAGGCTCTAGGTTTAATCCCTCAGCACCATATAAGCTGAAATGTGGCACTGTGGCTCAAGTGGTAGAGCACTAGCCTTGAGCTGAAGAGCTGAAGGACAGTGCCCAGGCCCAAAATTCAGGCTCCACTACCAACAACAACAAAAAATAATAAAAAAATAAAATAAAAGCTATTATGTGGAACTATTTGGAGTAATCTTTCTTAATCTTGTTACTCAGCTATTTTTGTTCAATTTTATAGACATTTCTTTTTTGTTGGTCTTCCTTCCATCTGTCTCTGTCTTGTCTCTTTGAGCTTACAAGTATGGGATTTGCCATTATTGGAGCTTCAACTCAGCCTCATGTTGAGCTTTTTTTCACTGAAGTCGCTTTACTACTCGAGTCATACCTCTACTTCCTGAACATTCTTTGAACTTTTATCAGTCTGACTTATTTTGGGAATAATTCAGATATGCTTAGGGTTCTAGCAATACCTGTTAACATATCAACATTAGTTAAACAAAACCAGAATGAAACTTAATTTGTAGTTCTATGTCTTGAGACTTACCAACTTTGTAATGGATACAGCCTTCCAAGTCCCCAACAGTGATCCAGCCTTGTTTCTTCTCCACTTCTGGGTCATTGTGAAGTATTCTATTTCTTAACCATGAAAGATAGTAGACACGTAGCTTATTTTTCTTTCCTGTTAAAACACAAAGAGATTTAACTTCAATATCCTGTGATGTTTTTCCCATCTTCTTTCATATCTTTATGTTTTATTTACCTTTGTGTGTATGTGAGAGTAATATAGCCCGTGTCTGAGCACTTTATCAAAGTGTTCTGTCTACCAAGTCTTCTGGTTAAAATAACTTCTAATGTTTTGGCCAAATCAGAGAACTTCAATGTCTTTAGTTTCTAGTAGCTTCTTACATGAACAACCTGCTATTATTCTCTCTTCTCAGTGTCTCAGCAAGATTGAACTCTGCCACAGTTTCAGAATATTCTAGAATTAATCTTATGAAGAAGTGTTGACAGTGGGGACAGGAGCATATTTTTGTGTGTCAGTCCTTTTCTCACCCTTTAACCTGACAGCAGATGGCTATACTGAATCTTCCATTTGCTCTATTAATTTGAAGATGACAACTATGGATCGTTAAATTTTTTTTAACTAAAATAAATTCTAAAAGGAGACAGAGAAGTATAATGAAGGCATTTATGGATTAAGAACATGATACTGGACAAATCTGTGATGTTGAGGTCACTGAAAAGAATATACAATATAAGCAGGAAAGAAAAAAATGTAGATTTGGAAAAGAAGCTTAAAAGTTCCCTTTGATAAAGTGACCTGAAATAAAAATCCGTAAAGTGATAAGAAGACATCTAGATAGTATGGAAGAGTATTCAAGGAGAAAAATGTATTACATTATCTGAGTTCCAGAGAAGAAAATGGAATCTAGTGGTTCTTCAGTAATGAGAAATTTATGCATATATGATTAGTTTCTTGGGTATTTATTTTCCTTTGAAATATCTTTGGCTTTAAAGATGTTTTAAATGTTACAGATGTGATATCTTCTTTTTTTTTTTTTTTTTTGGGTCCGGTTGTGGGGCCTGAACTCTGGGCCTGGGCACTGTCCCTCAGCTCTTCATCTCAAGGCTAGTGCTCTACCACTTGAGCCACAGTGCCACTTCCGGCTTTTTTCTTTTTGCTTATGTGGTGCTGAGGAATCGAATCCAGGGCCTCAGGCATGCAAGGCAAGTGCTCTACCACCGAGCCACCTTCCTTCTTGAAGAAGAGAACTACTTAAGGCATTGCATACTGGTGTAACAGAAGAGTTCATTCAGAACTTAAAACTATAGGAATAATGGTGTGCCATAATTCATTTTTGTAACTGAAGCCTAGAGCATGTTGTGATGCTCATGATTGCTAGGAGGAACAGCAGAGTCATTGCTTTCTCCTTTCTATACCGGTATGAATCCAAGGGCAATTCAAGGATCTTTTGCTTCTATTTTCAGTTTTTCTTTTTCACATCTGTGCCTTGAGATAAGAGGAAAACAGACTCTTAAGAATTAGGATGTGTCAGTAACCATAGAATGAAGTCTGAACATGAATTTTCTGGTAGCATTTCCACTTTGGGTAGATGACTGGCAGATGTGTGTTTTCGATTTTGACCCCACAGAATTAAACTCAAATCACAATGTAAGAATTTACTTTGTTAACCTTTACTTGGGTCTGATTAATACTCATTTATTGGAAAGGTACAATAAAGAGAGAATTATAGTGGCAAGTGAAGACATTTTCTTAAAATAGAAGTAGAACTGGAAAGTTAAACTTCCTTTAAGGTTCAGCCTATAAGCCTCATGTTGCCTGTGTAGTTAAGGCTGCATAAAGAGCCATGTTAAAAACATTGTGAATACCTGAGCCCCACCCTCACAGATTCCAAATGTGTATGATCAAATCTAGCTATACAGCTATAATTTACTATTGGCCAGGAAAGACAAAGATTACATTTCCTCAGAAAGAAGATGATCCTTCCTACCTCTGAATACCTGGAGAATAGGATCAATATAGTAACATACCTGATATGGTCACAAGAACATTTAGTCCTTCAAGCACATCCATCTGCTGAAATCGCCTCCGGTTGATCAGGTTATAGACTTTGCCTTGCCCACTTCGGTCCAAAAGCATGAGGCCATTTTCAGTTCCCACCAGAAGGTTTACACCTGCAAGTTTAGGGTTTAAATTAAGATGTACTCTTTGTAGTCTTTATACTTCTTTAACCTTTTGTATTTGGGCCCCCACAAGCCCTAATAAACTTGTTTTTTGTGAATTCAAACTAATGGGCGAGTAGTGCTATGGTAGGGAGTGTAGAAGTAGAAACTCTGATGCAGTAATTAAATCACTGTCACTCTAATGGAATTAGTTTTCTCTTATGAAGTGTTAGCAGCCATTTACTGTCTAGCACAGTGCTTGCCAAGAGGAGCCTTAGGCAAAGCTGTGAAGTTAACACAATTTGCCAGTATTACCTTTCAGAAACTGTTCCTTCTCTTCCATCCCTTCTTTCCTTCCTTCCTTCCTTCTCTCTCCTTCCCTTATGTTGTCCCTCTCTCTCTCCCTCTGTGTACCTGGTTACTGCCCCTGAGCTTTTTTGCTCAAGGTTAGCACTCTACCACTTGAGCCACAGCTCCACATCCAGCGTTTTGCTGGTTAATTGAAGATAAGAGTCTCATGGACTTTCCTGTCTGGGCTGCCTTCAAACCAAAATCTTCAGATTTCAGTCTCTTTCCTGAGAAGCTAGGATTACAGGCATGAGCCATCTGTGCCCGACAACTAACTTCTTTTTTTTTGGTTGGTCGTGGGGCCTGAACTCTTGGCCTGGGTGCTTTCCCTCAGCTTTTCAGCTCAAGGCTAGAGCTCTATCACTTGAGCCATAGTGCCACTCCAGCTTTTTCTGCTTATGTGGTGTCGAGGAATGGAACCCAGGGCCTCATGCATGCAAGGCAAACACTCTACCACTGAGCTACCTTCCCAGTCCCTAACTTCTTTCTTGACTGTTTATATCCCCTTCTCTCCTTCCCAAGGCTCACACCCCCACCCCTCCACACCTATTCATGCAGTGATTTCTTAGGACATTAGCCTGTGCATTCAATGTGTGATAGTGTTTCCATTTCTATACTCTATCAGAAGAAAAGACCTTCCTCCTTCTCACACTAAAATTCAGCTCTCTCATATCCCATACCTTCATGGTTGTGCGCTGTTAGGGAAATGTTAAACCAGGTCAAGGAAAAGGTGTTAATGGTCTAAGAGTCACAGAAACACTGACTGTGAAACTTCTCAAGTATCTTAATTCTAGTGTAGTAATATTAGGAAAAAGGGTTGTCTGGATAGCCATAATCTACCCATTGCAATGTACATACGTCAAGAGATGCATGAGCAGGTAACTCTCAGTTATCTTACTTGTTGTACTTTATCTTCTGACAACATGGCATGTTTGCTCTTTTCTCCACATGCTAACCTTTTCAATACTAACGGTGGCTATTTTATTTTCCATACCTTCTCCCTGAGGGAGAACCATCACATCTCAGGAAATCATCTTGATCTTCCCCTCTGACATCTCAAATGCTTTTACTCTTTACAATTATGGTGCCTCAATGCAAGCCTAGTATTTTAGATGGCTACAGACAGGCTACATCTGATCTGCCCCAATAATATAGACCTGGGACTCTAATAGAGTATCATCACACCTATACTGAGTCTAAGATCACCTAAATCCTGGAGATCTTTTTCATGAGAACCACAGAGTGATGTTTTGAACTAAAAGGAATTCCTCATTATTTGTTTTTTTCCCCCCCCAAGTGTTTTTCTTCTTTATTGCTGATGATATGGCTTTGGGCAAGTCACTAAAATATGGCAGGCTGGTTCTGCATCTGTGAGACAAAGGTAATGCCATTACTTTCCTTGTAGGATATGGTAAGGAACAGAGACAGATGTGAGTGCTAGACACATAGTGTGTGTGTATTAAGTGGTGGCTAGTTCTGTTGTTGACTTTAACTTGTCACTATTCATGTTAGCCTTGGAATTAGTATATAAGGCCTTTTTACATATAAAATTGCTTTTGATCTCTCTGAGGTTAAACAGACCAAGGTTTCTAACACTAAGATACACATGATTTTTCCTGATTCAGAGTTAATTAATGAGTGAAAATAAAGCACTAACATACCCCACAAAGCTGCACAAAGTATTTCTGAGTTGAATCTTTTCTTGTATTTTCTGATTTCCGGTGTATCGCTATGAGGCCGAATGTTGGTTGGGTTTACGTTTACCACTGAAATCTTCCTTGCTTCATTGAGTTTGGCCTGTTCTTGCCTAAGGAGTTCGCTAGTAAACAGAGCTTTGAGAAAAAGAATCAGAGAAGTCAGTGGGATCCTAAAAGATAACTAAGGGAGATAAGGAAAAGGGTCATTAAAACACTATGAGTTCTTTTTGTTTAGTGTGTATTAAAGGTGCAGGAACTCTACAACTGTACTTATTTTATGCCTTTTTAGTAGGATAAAGTATAAGTCATTCATAGCAGTAGTATTTTATTCATTAGCAAAACAGACCTATAGACAGTACTTGGATGGTTTAGAAAATTAATATTAATCTCACGAGATCATATAGGTCATCTCTACCTCCTGCAAATAGATACAGGAAAGACTTCCTCTTTGAAATAGAACATTATCAGTTGAAAAGTTGGCCTAAGCTGACCTTAATGATTAGTGAGTTGCAGAAGGCCAGAAAGCAACACTATTCTAAATCAGCCAGACTTTTTGTGATGGGAACTACACAGGTAGAGTTCAACACAACTTAACACGCATTTTAGTGTCTATTACGTGCACAATAGCACTGTACCCAGAAATTGTTTTTGGGAAATATGTGGTAAGTTCGGAGATCGTTGAGGAACAGCTTTTCCTAGTGCCCCTGGATACTTCTGGGTTCCTACCAGAAGCAAAACAGAAAAGATGGGGAAAAGTAAGGAAAAGGGAGAAATTTGTTTTAGGAATCCCACAAAAATAATAAAGTCAGGACCTACTCATTAAATGGCTTAACTATTGAATTAATGATGAAGTTCTTGATCAGGCTTTACCAAAAGGAAATATGTTTCTGTAGCATTTGGGCCTTCTAGCTTACCTGCAGCTGATGATTCTTCATCCTCTTCATCTTCATCAGTGGGAGATGTCTGGTATACTCTGGGGTCCACAAAGGGGGTGAAGGAGGCTTTGGTGCTGCTGCCCATGCCATACTAATCAATAAGCAAGATTAAGAAGAGAAGATTAAAAAAATGCAGGAACAGTTGATGCTAACAATACTTTGCTCAGGCTTTACAACGATTACTGACTCCTTGATCTATTCAGCTATTCATAGTGGGGCTCCCTCGTCAAAGCATGTGTCTCTCTGCTCTTTGTCTTGGTATTGGTTAGTCTCTAGCTCCAGTACTTTCATCAGTTATCAGACTACAAGAGTTGCAGCAAGAAAATTACATTTTGAGCAACAAATAGCACCTTAATATCTGTAAAGTCTTTGAGGTGGCAGAATTATCTCTACATTTGAGCAAAAGCAATCTCATATTGATCAAATGTTTCTAAGAAAAGCAAAAGCTAAGTAGGCATGTCGTCAGAGCTGTACTTTATTCTAAACAGTTAACCGAGAGATCCTCTCTTGAAAGGATGGCCTTTGGGTCTTTCTATTCTGGCCTGTGGTACACATGGACCTGAGATTGGCCCCCAAAACTGTAAAATACTTAATTCAGGAGGGAGTTCATCCAGGAATTGATGTTTCTTTCCAAGATGAAAAATATGCTTAAAAAGATGCTTGTATTTTCATGCTTTATTTGGGGAGTTTATGAAGATACTGGGGTTTGAAGGCAGTATATCTCAGTGGTTTAGACAGTGTGTGGTGCTTGGATAGCACCATCAAGACATGAAGCCAGAACTAGAATCAGGAACAGTAAACTCATTAACAAGGCTTTATTTATGTCACAATATTCCATGTTTAAATTTTGCCAAAGAGTTGTAATAACCATTTTGTTATCTTCATTCTTTTTACATCTTTACATTTTTTAAACATCTCAGACACATCTGTAGTCAACATAATAACTGTCCTTGGGAGATGATAAATAGATTTAAGGGTTTTAAATTTAATTATAAATTCTTAGCACAAAATTGGAGAAGGGGGGAAATAAACATTCTAACACTTCTAATTATATAAGGAAAACCCCACAAAGATCTAGTCTGATTTAGTTTAAGATTTTCCCTCCAATAGCATGAAATTGCAGAGCTTCTCCATGGCAAAGGGCATAGCTAGCAAGATCAATAGAAAGCCCACGGACTGGGAGAAGATCTTCACTAGCCATACAACAGACAAGGGTTTCATATCTAAAATATACCTGGAACTCAAAAAATTAAATCCCCCAACAACAAATCCTCAAAGAAACAACTGCCCAATAAATAAGTGGTCTAAAGACTTACAGAGAAACTTCTCTGAAGAGAAAAGAAGGATGGCCAATAGACACATGAAGAAATGCTCAACTTCTCTAGCCATAAAAGAAATGCAAATCAAAACAACATTGAGATACTACCTCACCCCAGTTAGAATGGCTATAATCAAGAACTCTAATATGCAACAGATGCTGGAGGGGATGTGGACAGAAGGAAACCTTACTGCATTGTTGGTGGGAGTGTAAACTTGTTCAACCACTTTGGAAAGTAGTATGGAGGTTCCTCAAAAGACTCCACATAGAGCTCCCCTATGACCCAGCAATCCCGCTTCTGAGCCTTTACCCAAATGATCACAAACAAGACCATACTAAAGCTACCAGCACAACTATGGTTATTGCAGCATTATTTACCATAGCTAAGATATGGAACCAACCCAGATGCCCCTCAGGAGATGAATGGATCAAGAAAATGTGGTATATATACACAATGGAATTCTATGCCTCCATCAGAAAGAACGGCATTGTCCCATTTGTTAGGAAATGGAAAGACTTGGAAAAAATTATACTAAGTAAAGTAAGCCAAGCCCAAAGAAACATAGGCCCCATGCTTTCCCTTATTTGTAATAACTAGTAATATGTCTGAGACAAGCAGAAAAAGTCAGATATGTTGATGTTAAGTGAAATGAACCCCAAGATAAGTATTCAAATTTTTTACTTTCATGTGATTGTTGCTAACAATATAAGATGATTTCTTTGTTGCTTTGTATGTCCCTCCCCCACGATACAACCCCTGATTTCACTGTATTTGATGTTGGTATAATTTGTGGAGGGGAAGGGAAAAAAATTGTTTAGGGATACAGGTGGACCCATTGCCACAATGAGATGTACAAGTCGTTATGTAGAAAAACAAACTTTACAACTTTACAACTTTGGGGAGAGGAAAGGGAGGGATGTGGGGGGGCGTGGGATATGGGAAGGGATAGGAAGGAGAAACAAAGGAGGAGGTAACAATTTGATAAGAAATGTACTTATTATCTTGCCCATGTAATTGTAACTCCTCTATGGTAGGTATTTTCATAATAAAAAAATTAAAAAAAAAGATTTTCCCTCCAGCCTTAGAAATAGTAAAAAAAAAAACAAAAACAAAAACAAAAAAAACCCCTCCTTTTCTGTAAGATTGCCTCCCCAAAACAGCATTTCACCTGTATTCTCTCCTTTGATGTTTAGAAGTCTATAAGGAAAGTGGAACTGATACTCATATTCCCACTTATAGCTGGGGCAGCAGCAGAATTTGAATCAGGGCTCCATCTTGGGAGAGCCTCCTTGGTACTGAAGGAGGTATGTAGGCAGAAAATGTCTGTCCATGCCGCACAAAGCTACCATGGTCTGCTGTAGTTTATAATAGGCCTGTATGTTTTTTGGGGAGGTGTCCAAAACTCATTATATAACTGTAGAGTCCAAATGGTGCATCAGGAAGATTCAGTATGAAAGCAACAGTGCACATGATTTATAAAAACATTTAGGGCCTAATGTGTGATTCATGGGACCAATCACTAAATACAACCATGTCTTTGAATTCATCTAGTCAATGGCATCCATTAGCTTTGCCTGATTATGTTCATTCTGTTTCTTTCCTGGGACCATTTTTGTGCAATTTGGAGGAAGAACCTATCAATTAAGTCTTACTCAGTTTTGAATATTAATCTCAACTGGTAGGCCTGGAAATCTTAACAAGCTACAGTTTCTTTTCTTTTTTTTTTTTTTGGGTCCAGTCGTGGGGCCTGAACTCTGGGCCTGGGTGCCATCCCTCAGCTCTTCAGCTCAAGGCTAGCGCTCTACCACTTGAGCCACAGTGCCACTTCCAGCTTTTTTCTTTTTGCTTATGTGGTGCTGAGGAATCAAACCCAGGGCCTCAGGCATGCAAGGCAAGCACTCTACCACTGAGCCACCTTCCCAGCCCCACAAGCTACAGTTTCTGTCACTGGACGTTGACACAGTAAGCCCACGTTCTGGTCCAGTCTCTGTCCCAAACTTTAGCTTTAGCCAAGTTACTTAACATATCTGAGCTTCAGAACTCATATTGGCACAGATGATATCTGAGAACTTTTCACTGCTTTGTATGTATGATTTTTCTATTTGAATATTTTCATAAGCAACTGTACATCGAAACCAACCAAACACATTTCAGGAATTGGAGGAAGCCTTCTTTTGGACGCAGTAGGGTTGAGCTCCCATGAAGGAAAACAGAACTGTTGTGACTATAGCTCAGCACCTACCTCGGTCCCCGAGTCCATTTCCTGGGAATGGGAAGAAACACGCCCCAGGCCCTCTGTTGGTGTACCAGCTGGGGAATGGCTCTGCTGTACCAGGTCTGGGAGGTTGATGTGGCCAGCAAAGCCATTGCTGTCACTATGGCCAGATCGCTTCTTCTCTCCAGCTGTCTGAAGGACATAACACACAGAGACCTTGAGTGAGGGAAAAAAAGGCCACAGAACAGTACCCGCCCCTTACACAGTGTAGGTGCCAGGGACTTCAAGCTGACTCACTAGTGTGTAGGAAGGTAACACTCAAATTTCTATTCTACCTAAGAAATAAACATATTAAGCAAGCCAGGCACCGGTGGCTCAATCCTGTAATCCTAGTTACTCAGGGCTGAGATCTGCAGATCATCCTTTGAAGCCAGCCCAGGCTGGAAAGTGCATGAGACTCTTATCTCCAATACACAATGGAAGTGGCATTGTGGCTTAAATGGTAGAGCGCTAGCCTTGAACTGAGGGACAGCGTGCCTAGGCACAGAGTTCAAGCCCCACAACCAACAAAAAACAAAACACATTAAGCTTCTCTAATAGGCAGTAAATGGATTGATCCTGATGCCACATACTCCTGAATGAGGGATACTCAGGAATCCCATTTGATGTGGGAAGTATCCCCTGAGGGAATATAAGGATGCAACAGGGGAGAGGGCTGAGCACAGCCTATACTGGCATGGTTCTCTTCTGCAGTGACAGTGTGTCTATATGTGTATGCATACTGCCAATTAATTGGATTTACTAACCATATTGCTACCAGTTAATTGGATTTACAGACTACATTGCCAAGTTACAATGAAACACAAAAATAGATAATCTGAAAAGAGGCTGGGAAGATGGCTCAGTGGTAGAGTGCTTGCCTTGCATGCATGAGGCCCTGGGTTCAATCCTCAGCACCATATAAGCAGAAAAAACTGGAAGTGGCACTGTGGCTCAAGTGGTAGAGCGCTAGCCTTAAGCTGAAGAGCTGAGGGACACTGCCCAGGCCCAGAGTTCAGGCCCCACAACCAACAAAAATAAATAAATAAATAAATAAATATTACTGAAAAGAGCACTGGGATGAAGAAATACTAATAATCCACAATTATAGTCCAATAAAATGCAGAAATAATATAAAAATCACAGGGCTCTTTATCTTCTACAAGGTCAAAACAATGATTAACTAATGATTAATCAGCTCTTCTAGAAGTTCCAAAAAGTTTAAATGACCTAGACGACCACTGTCATTAATGTTCAATGTCCTAGTAAGTAACCATAATGCTTTGTGATATAGGCAGTAAAAAATGAAGTCATCATAGCTAATGAAGTATTTGAAATATTGCTGATAGCCTGTCCTGGGGCATGAACTCAGGGTCTGGACACTGTCTCTGGGATTTAAAAAAAATTTTTTTTTATTGTGATTGATTACCTAAATTTCACAGTATTGTCAGATAGTGATACTTAAAGTCACAAACACATTCTAACCTTCCTGAGGCAAACTGTCATCTTGATCTATAAACTTTGTGAATTATATGTGTCTCTGAGCTTTTTAAGCCCAAGATTAGCATTCTACCACCTGAACCAGCTCTATTTCTGGCTTTTTGGTGGTTACCTAGAGATAAGAGTTTCATTCCTTCCCAGGCTAGATTTGAACTGCGGTCCTCAGATCTCAGCCTCCTGAGTTGCTAGGATTATAGGCATGAACCAGTGGTGTTTGAGTATTCTATAATGTATATGCTTATATGGTAGGACTACACTGGATATGTTGTATGTGTTTTCTCTAAAACATTTACTGATAGGGTTACATGACTTATTATGTTTGGAAAACACCGCTGTGGAGAGCATCCTGTTCCCAAAATAATAAGGCAAATTTAAAAGACAACTCTGAGCCTCAAAGGGTAGTATCCACATTGTAGGAGTAACCAGTGTCTGTCGTTTCTTTCTTGGCTCCCATCTAACTGTAACCAAGTGTTCAGTGACTATCTCCATTGCCCCTCCCACCCCACTCCCAGGCTCTTCTATGATGAAATTTTAGATTCCACATAAGAATGTGATCATGAAGGACTTGTCTATTCAGGTCTGACTTATTTTACCCTACAGAATGATCTCTGGTTCCATTCATGTTGCAAGAAATAGGGTTTAATTCTTTTAGTTCTCAGTAGTATTCAAGTGTGTATATATACCACATTTTCTTTATCCACTCATATAAGTTATATATATATATCATATTACTGATATTACTCATATAAGTTGCTTCTCTGAATACTGTGGCAAAGAATGTACAGGTGAGCTGGGTGCTGATGGCTCATGCCTCTAATCCTCACATTTCTTCACATCCTTACCAGCACTATCTCTTTTTTGATAATAACAACTGCTGTTGGGTACTGGTGGTTCACACTATAATCCTCCCTACTCAAAAGTCTGAGATCATGGTTTTGAAGTCAGCCCAGGCAGGAGAGTCTGTAAGACTCTTATATCCAAAAATCTAGAAGTGAAGCTGTGGCTCAAGTGGTGGTATGTTAGCCTTAAGCAAAAAAAAAAAAAAAAGCTCAGGAACAGTGCCTAGGCCCTAAGTTCAAGCCCCAGGACTGGCACCAAAAAACAAACCCTTACCTGAAGTGAGGTGATTTGGATTTGCATTTCCCTGGTGATTAAAGATGTTGAGCATTTCTTTCATATGCCTGGTGACAATTTGTAGGTTTTCATTTGAGAAATGTCTAAATTAGAAATATTTCTATTCTATTTTGTTCTCTTTTCTTTGGTATCCCTTTCCCTTTACTTGTCTCAGCATTTTTGAGTTTCTATTAGGGTGAAACATTGTGCTAAACAAGAACAGCTTGACGCTAGGCAGACACTCACTACCTTCTTTGGAGCTGATACACAAGGGTTCAGGCCATTTCTTTAATTTCTTGACCATCTCTTTGGCCTAGTTTCTTTCTTCCAGAGCCTATCTTGGCCTTACAGTTGTCTGTAAATAACAGGAAACAGGCCTCTCCTTCTCTCCCCTTCCTCTCTCCCTCTTTCCCTTCCTCTCCTCTCCTCTCTCCTCTCCTCTCTTGTCTTCCCCTCCCCTCCCCTTCCACTGCCCTCCCTCTCTCCCTCTCAGTGCTCCAGCAGAGGTCAGTGCTCCAGCGGAGTCAACCAGAGAGCTAGGGTCAGAACCCAAGTTTGCTTAGGAATTCAGGGCTCGCTTCAGTGGGACCACAGCTAGGGATCCCTAGGCTCTAAGTAATAGTTTATTCTCTCTCTCTCTCTCTCTCCAGGCTCCTAGGCTTCTGAATTTCAGTTGATATTAAGAGGCAGCTTAAGAAACAATTGAAGTGTAGTGTCCTGCTTTTTAGCAACCTGCTTCTAGACTAAATCAGGCCTTCTCTGGATTTATCTGGCCACAATGTTCATCTGGAGTGTGTACCAGTATACAGCTGAAATTTCATCTTCTACATGGTATTTTAGGAATTTAATCCTATTTTGGCTCTGCTTTTATGTACACTGGGCACATTTTCTTTCCTTCAAACACAAAAAAGCTTTTTAACATTTTCCTCAACTTTCCGATAGTGTAAATCATATCTTATTGTTTGAGAAGGTTTTAGCTTCTTGTATCAATAGTATTCTTTCCCAAGCCAAAAAATCAAAAACAAATCTGATTTAGGCACATTGATGAACAAAAGCAATGGCTAACAGGGGAAGTTGCCCAGACAGGGAGAAACCTGAAGCAGTGACCCTTGAATCTGCCTGCTTCTGAGTCATGACCACTTGATTCATTCAACCAGCACTTTCATATTAAGCAAATATTGTGTGTCCAAGCACTCTATTGGGAACACAAACATGAACAAACATGAACAACAGCCCTGCCCTGCAGGATTGCATCTAGAGAGCCCCAACAATACTTCTGGTCTTTGTGCCTTTACCATTTCCCTATGTATGACACTTAGATGTTCTGTATATTTTAAGAATGATTATGTGCTTTACTGATCCACCAATTAGATATTGATCTGATCACTAGAAATACTCTGAAAGGCACACCAGAAATAATGTTTACATTTAATGTGGGTATCCAATCGCTCAATCATGTTTTTGTTTTGTTTTGTTTTTGTTCTTTCCGATCCTGGGGCTTGAACTCTGGGCCTGGACACTGTCCCTGAGCTCCTTTTGCTTAAGGCTAGTGCTCTGCCACTTGAGTCACAGTGCCACTTCTGGCTTTTTCTGTGATTAATTGGAGATGAGAGTATCATGAGCACTTTCTTGCCTGGGCTGGGTTTGAACAGCGATCCTCAGATCTCAGCCTCCTGAGTTGCTAGGATTACAGTCATGAGCCACCTGCACTCAGCTGTTACTGTTTTTAACAAAGAAACAACTTCTTGTTTCCATTTCCTGGACTTTATTACAATAGTATTTTATATGATCAGAGGCACATAAGCATTGTACCTTTGTGTTCTTCTCCTGAATATGTTGGCTTTGTTGTTGTTGTCTGTAGTTTGCATTGGGACACTTTGTCTTCATCTACCCTTGCCCTGGGATTTATAGCACCAGCTGTCTTGGGTTGCCAGCTTGCAGAAGACAAATCACTGGACTTCTTTTGTTTGTTTGTTTTCATTTTTGTCTCTTCTTTTTTTGGTACTGGGTACAAACCCAGGATGTTGCATTTGCTAGGCAAGTGCTTTGCCACTGAGCTACATCCCAGCCCCTCTTTAGACTTCTTAGCTTTCACAATTGCATGAGCTACTCCCCTATTTCTTACCCCTGCCTCTCCCTTAATTCACCCCTCCCTCTCTCCTCCATTCAGAAATACTGAATTTCTCTAGAGGTCATTATAAGGTATCGCATATACAAGGTACTGCACTAATACTTTGTGTACTATATTCCACTGAATCCTCACAAAACTTCATGGGTAGAGCTTTCATTATCTCCATTGTACAGATGGAAAAACTGCACCACAAGAAATTAAAAACTAGTCCCCAGTAACAAGTGTTCTATTTGGTAAGGCCAGGGTTCAAACCTGGATTGTCTGGAGGAAGAGCCCTTATATTCTGCACTGAACTGTAGTACTGAAGTGTTGTACTCCTGGCCACAAGTGATTGGACCTGGAGTGGGCACCTGAGTCATGTGAGATCAGATTTCTAACCGAGGTCAGTTTCTGCTAGCAGCTGAACTAGAATGTAGTGAATATCTTGTGAAAGAGGAAGGAGAGACCGAATATGTAAATTGAGAGAATGAAATGATCTGAGGGTCTCTCAGTAGGCCAAACTCATGTAAGACACTGGTAGATGTAATTTTAAAGTGATTGGTTGTCATTGTAGAATACTGCAGGGTTTTGAATAATGCAGAATCATCTGGATGTGACTGGCAGCACTAAAAGTATGGCTCTAAATGCCTACTTGGAGGTACTGTCTCATAAAGACTCAGGCAAATTTTAAACCACATTAGAGATTAGAGCCATTTTATATAGCGTTAAAGACCTCACTCTAGAACATCCTTCCTCAAGTAGCAAGCTGTAGTCACTAAAGCTATGAAACGATCCATTCACCACACTAGGAGATTTATACACCAGCAGGCTACAATGTCAACTCCAGCAGCCAAGTCCATTTTTCATTCTAGACATACGTGAAAGGATTCTTTAAAGCTTACTTGAAAGATTCCACAAGGCTGTAAAATGAAATTCTAGCAAGTTGCTTTGTGAACTAGTCTTCTAGGGATAACCCCGTTGCCAATGATTACTTCAAAGGCATTATTCATCTCAAAACTTCAGTTCCTTTCTTCTCAATGAAGGTGAAATGCCCCGTGCCTTTTTGGAGTGCAAAGTAGGCTGTTGGGGTTTCTCAACTCTATCCTGGTAGAATTGTGAGAATTGCAGATGACATGTTTGAGTTTCAGAGAGGAGAGTGTTCTGTGATAATAGGTCAAAGGAGAATTCAATTTATAGAGTGAGTGAAAATAAAATAGTCATTATGTATGCAATACTTGAAACTGTGAAGTAACTCATTTAATATTCTCAGCCATCTTAGAAGTTATGTGCTATTATCTGTGAAAGTTTACAGATGACAAAACAGATGCAAGGAGAGGTCAGATAACATTTTCATAAAGTTACTAGTCATTTTCCTTTCAAATAAAGAACCAGCTTTCAAACTTGCAAGGTGATGATGAAATGAGAATAGATTCCCATTGGGGTCCTTCTGGTTGGTACAAAAAGGAGTTCTGCCTGCAGGAAGGGCAGGTTAAAGGGAACAATGCCTCCCACCACATGTAACAATATTCCTAGACTTAAACAATTACCCAAAATGCAACTGTGCACTTTCCAGTAAACCTGCATGTTTTTTTGTCAACCAAAATAACTTTGGTTTTTTTTTCTTCAAGTGTTAATTTAATGAATTCTTAGAACTACTGAGCATTTTCTCCAATGGAATCCACAAGGATAAACCACTGAAAGAGGAGGCTAACAAAACCACTGGTCCTACTCAGATCATTCCTTTCTGCTTTCCTATTATAGGGAACATCTGGGTTTGCCAGTTCTATATCCTCAGGCTAAAATTTTAGATTCCAATTTGCATAGCTCCTACTAAAAATTTTGGACTAATGTAATTAAGTCACATTGCAAAAGCTTAAAAAGATGCAGAAAAGAAAGCAGCAGACAATTAAAATCGCTCAACCATTTAGATGCAAGGTTTCCTACCCAGGCCCCCCCATCTCCATGCTTAAAAATAGATGCTGTCAGCATTCCTTGTGAAAGCGCTAGTAGAAAAAACACTTAAGAAATGCATGTCACCTTGAGCCGGGCACCGGTGGCTCATGCCTGTAATCCTAGTTACTAAGGAGGCTGAGGTCTGAGATCTGAGGATCATGGTTCAAAGCCAGCCCAGGCAGGAAAGTCCATGAGACTCTTATGTCCAATAAACCACCAGAAAACCAGAAGTGGCACCTGTGGCTCAAGTGGTAGAGTGCTAGCCTTGAGCTGAAGATCTGAGGGACAGCGCCCAGGCCCAGAGTGCAAGTCCCATAACCGGCAAAATGAAAGAAAAGAAAAGAAAAAAAGAAATGCATGTCCTCTTCCCAGTTGTTACAGCAGCTTACCTCTCTAATCATCAAGGTTCCTTCTCGTGAAAGACTGCTGCTGAAAGTGTCCGTGTGAGAGGTCTCCAGCCCGTGGGTCCCCACCATGCCCACACTGTACTGCTCATTGCTCCCTGGAGCTCCTGTTGGTCTAAGGTAGGAAGGAATAGTATCAATTGCAAGCTGGATTTAAGGAATACTAATTCCTGCCCGTATCAGTTATTTTAGTGTGGTAAAAGCTGTCTTTATATCATCTGTTTTTAAGTGTATACTTCAATGGTTTGGAAGACATTCCATATTGAGTTGACTGTGGCTGGACTGGGGTTACATTTCTGTAGATTCTTTTCCAATATATTCTTGGCCCAGTGGCCAGTAGGAATGAACTTCTTGTTTTCTATGAAGAAACATGCTGAAGTCAGCACAAAGGTTTCCCAGACTCTATGTGACCACCCCCTATCCCCACCCCACCTCCTTCCTTGATGAGCACCCACCTGACCTGCTCTTATGATCACTCTTTCCTCTGCCTGGAACACTCTCCCACCCTGACTCTTGCTTGCTCCTTCTCAGTCATCTAATTTAATATAAAATACTTTCTCTGAGAAGCTGTCTCTCACTTTCTATTTCTCATCCCACCAGGCTTTCTTTTTTTTTCTCTCTACCTTTTCTTCAATAGTTGTCATTAAACTTCTTTTCCAATTTTCTCCTCTATCATTAGAACAGATGTTTGGGGAAGGGGTAAGATGCTTATCGCTACTCATCAATATATAACCAGCACCCAGCAGAGAGTCTGGCACATAGTAGGGACATAGAAAGTAATCAGTAGTTAAGTGAACTTCGTGCTATTTCAAGACTACCAATTAGGAACATGCTGGTTCATTGGAGTACCATGAACAAGACTTGGAATTAGGAAAACAAACCCCTGTATTCACCCCACAAGGTGCTGCTGCTGTGTCTGTTTCATTTTTTTTCTTGCTATTGTACTTAAGATACAGTGGGAAAAGAAAACAGGTTATTGACACAGCTTCCTGAGAATACAGACTGAATTTCCTTTCTGTCCTGTAGTAGAAAGCACAGGGGTGACGGACCACTCCAGCCGCTTCCTTGGAACGTCAGAAATTTTCAAATTATTTTTACATATTTGAAAGGTATTTTTGGCTTCTTGGATCCCATCAAAGTCCTTCCATCAAGAAGCATGCCAGATGGATGCAAACACATATCAACAATTCTCGTCCAAAAAGAAAGGCAAGAAAATGTATAGCTAGACATTTACTTCAAAATAACTACAGCAATGTATGGAAGGAGTTTAAATATGGCCTAGAACTAATGTGTTTGGGAAGAAATTTAACAGTATTTTCTATTCTTTTAAATTGTCTTTAAGAAGTTGTGCAAAGGGGTTTCATTCAACCTATCAGTTTTGTTTTCTTCCTCCTCCACCATTTTCTGCCCCGCCCTCCCCAGTGCTATCTGAGCATTCCTGCGTGTTTTCAGTTTGAGGCTAGTGCTCTGCCACTTGAGCCACAGCTCAGCTTCCCAGTGTTTTGTTTGTTTTTGCGATTAATGGGAGATAAGCGTCTCAAAGACTTTCCTGCTCTGGCTGGCTTTGAACCTTAATCCTCAGATCTCAGCCACTGAGTCACTAGCACATGTCTCAACCTATCAATATATAAGTACAATACATCTTGATCATGTCACCCAAAGAAGTGTTTTAATGGTCTCTATATGTCAATCCCCGAAAGGAATTATTAGTAAGTTCCAGAGACATGGGGAAAAAAGCAATTGTTTTTAAAACATGTTTTTGTTTTTGTTGTTGTTGTTCACTTTTATCTTTAGGTGCCTTAATTTCTTGTTTGAGACAAAGTGATGCAAAGCTAATGAATTAGTAAATGAAGTATGAAGGCCCTTCCAGGAATGGGGTCTCTTTCCCTCTCCATCAATCAGGCATTCTTTGCCACTGTCAGGGACTCAGGTTGAGTTAGGAACATGTCTAGGATGACATTTTACAGTCAGGACTTCTACTACTCTAGATGTCCTATGAAGTCTAAAGGTTATGGAATAGTTTGGCTCTTTTTTCTTTAAAATCCTGACAGGAAAATGTGAAAACAGATGAAATTCACAAACAGTATGTTTATCTTAGAGCTAATTTAGGCTAGAAAATCTCTCAATTTCCTACATATTTCAGCTAAGTTCCTCCCCATTTTTTTTTTTTTTGGGGGGGGGTCTGGTCGTGGGGCCTGAACTCTGGGCCTGGGCGCTGTCCCTCAGCTCTTCAGCTCAAGGCTAGCGCTCTACCACTTGAGCCACAGCGCCACTTCCGGCTTTTTTCTTTTTGCTTATGTGGTGCTGAGGAATTGAACCCAGGGCCTCAGGCATGCAAGGCAAGCGCTCTACCACTGAGCCACCTTCCCAGCCCCTCCTCCCCAATTTTTGCATTTTCTTTCTTACTAAAGTTATCACAGATAGGTGTCCTCTTCCATGCAAATTTGTAGCTATATCCTCTCCCATTTTTTGGTCCATATGTTCTTTCAAAGTCATCTGTGGTTATTACTCTACCAAGTATAGCTTTCCAGAATCAGTTCTAAAAGTTTACATTTTGCCAAACAGGTCTGAGTTGTGTGCCATTTATTAGTAGCAGGTTTACCGTGTATAGCATTAGCCATTGTTTGTTTTAACCTTTGTTGAGTGTTTTAAAGTGAGAATATATTCCCAGTCAATTTTTATACTTTTAATTTTATGAATTAGACCCATTTCATCTATGATAAATTTTTATGGTGAGCAGGTTTGACTGGCTTGAGTTCTATCTTATTTCTATTACCAGTACTCCTTATAGATAGAATAGTTATCTATGTTTCTTCTTTATTCAATTTCCTTCTAAAATGGTAATTTCTCTTAGATAAGGTGGGGATATCCTGCTGTGGAAGATTGGTCTCTTAAGAATCATTTCTACATACTTATTTATTCTATCCTGATTATGGAAAATTCTCACAAATTCTTGCATGTTTAAAATTACATGTCATGGAGAGCTAGTGGCTCATGCCTGTAATCCTAACTACACAGGAGGCTGAAGATCTGAGGATTGATCTTCAAAGTCAGCCTGGGCAGGAAAGTCCATGAGACTTTTATCTCTAGTGAGCCACCAAAAAGCAACAACAAAAAAACAACAACAAAAAACAAAAACCAGAAGTAGAACTGTGGCTTAAGTGGTGGAGTGCTAGCCTTGAGCATAAAAGCCCAAGAACAGTGCCCAGGCCTGAGTTCAAATACCATGACTGACAAAACATAACAAAACAAAAGTACATGTGTCTGTGATATGTAGTCTTAGGTAAATTTCAGCCTTTAGTGTTTCAAGGCTATAGAACATGTCTTAAATCACAGAGGAAGAGTCTTCATTGGGTCAGGACTCTTCTTTCTTACTCTTCTGGTCTTTGTAAGATGGCCTTTTTGTGGTTTTCCTTTTCTTCTCTATCTTGGATTCTTCCTAAATGTAAGTGGTACCCAGGATTCTGCTTTACTCTGTATAACCTTTTGGCATGCCCTTATCTATGACCTTTATATAATTATGACCCATTACAGAGTAATAATAAATATATAACCTATTTATTCAAAATCCTGTTAATGATATCTACCTGGATAGTACCTGAGATCATCACCTTTCTGAGTAAGTGAGTGGTATTTGTTGTGGGTGAGAAGAATATAGGGAGACATTACACTAAAGGCAACATAACAGCTTACGTTGGATTTTGGACAGGATAAAGGACACTAGGTCAGAACTAAGAATATGCCTTGTATTTGCTAATCACAGTAATAATATATTAGTATTGGCTCATACTAATGTACGATGCTAATAATAGGGAGAGGAGGAGGTGGGAATAATAGATGACTTCTTGTATTATTGCTTTAATTTTTCTGTAAATCTGACTATTCAAAAAGCAAAGTTTATTAGTGAAAGAATGAAGGAAAATACATTTTAAAATGTCTACAAAGTCTCAAACAATGTTGGTAACATTTCATACTTAAGATAATCCTTTGTTCTAAATATGATTCTAACAATATAGAGGGTGGATGGGAAAATTACTTGTCCAAAATCCTATAAGCATTCTAAAAAAAAACCACATCAGAACAAAACAAAAAAGATTCTACTGATTTAAAGGAAACCTACAGGAAATTTACTATGATTAGGCTGAGGTTTAGAACAGTTTCCTCTAATTGGGTTTCTCAAAGTGTTCCTTGGAGGTACTGATTTAATTCAATATCTGCTTGTTCAGCACCTGCTATATGAAAAGCCCTTGGTTTGACACAGGGAAGTGGATATAAAACAAGTTTAGTTCCTAAAACTAAAGAGGTTGGAACCTGTCAAAACAGAAGGGCATCACAAATCTACTTAAATACAAGGCAGAGTATAAGTGAGAAAGAAGGATGGAGGGAAGGACTATCCCAGAGAAAGGGACTCATCAGGTAGATGGGGTTCGGTTTGGCTGGAACGTGTTCTGGGCAGTCATGGATTCTGGGAATATATGAAGTGGTAGGGAGCTAGGTCTGAAGCACTGTTGGTCACCTGTCTGCATCAATAATTAGTCAAGTGCCTGGAGGCAAAGGACTTGAAAAGAGCAGGGAACAACAGGACAGTACTCCAGGAGGCAGACAATAGGATCAGAGTCATGCTGAGACCTGGATGACTGAGGTTGGAAGCCAACCCAGGCAGAAAAGTCTCAAAACTCCATCTCCATCAAAAAGCAGAGCTGGAGGTGTGGCTCAAGTGGTAGAGTACCAGATGAGCAAGCAAAACTTAGCAAAACTGAGGCCTTGAGTTTAAGCCCTGGTACTGGCAAAAGTAAAAGGGAATACGAAGACATGGCTTTCAGTGTTCTATGGCATTTTGTGAGACTGTATACAATTCATGACTGGTACCAGCAGTCGATGGTCCTAGTAATCCAGTCGACTCTGTGTGTACTGTTCTGATGCTCTGAACTGGGTTGTGAGGGAGGCCACGGATGCAGAGGGATACCTCTTCTGCTCATCTGACGTGATAAAAATCTATGTAGATATCTTTCCTTCTTTCTTCTTATTCTATAAGGCTTTCATTTTTCCTAATAATAAAAATCTCAAATAAGTGCATAATCTAGAGCTAATATTACACTTGCTTCTTTTTAGTCTATTTTTACCACTTTTTTCTGTATGTAAAGCAGTTGCAATTCTGTGCAATTGGCTAAGAACACAAAATTAATTAAAGGTACTGTTATAAGTTATGTCTTAAACAATACATAACAAACTAGAAAACAAGCTATTGTTTTTTAATACTGGGGTCCACAGCTGCTTGTCTGAAAGGCTAGGGCTTCAATTCTGAAGTTCTTTTATGTATACTATGGGAGCTAACTGTGTGCTACAAATACATTTTTCTCTCTAAAAATGCTCAGCACAAAACAATCAAGGCCCATCTTTTTTTGTGTGTGTGCTGGTCTTGGGGCTTGAACTCTGAGCCTGGGCTCTTGCCTCTGAGATTTTGCTTAAGGTTAATGTTCTACCACTTGAGCCACAGCTCTACTTATGTTTTTTTTTTCTTTTTGTCTTGTCCTTTTTGGTACTGCTAGGCAATCACTTTGCCACTGAGCTACAATCCAGCCCTACTTCTAACATTTTTTAGTGCTCAACTAGACATAAAAGTCACATGGACTTTCCTGCCTAGGTTGGCTTTGAACTGTGATCCTCAGATCTCAGCCTCTTGAGTAGCTAGGATTACAGATGTAAGCAAACAATTCATGGCTCAAGGTGTATCTTAACAAAGGAAAATAAAGGTAATAAGAATGTGTGTACAAAGTACTTTAGCTGCAAAACACTCTTCTCAAGAGCTAAGTGGTTTTGTTTTTTTTTTTCCCCCTTGTTGGGCATGGGGCCTGAACTCTGGGCCTGGTCGCTGTCCCTCAGCTCTTCAGCTCAAGGCTAGCCCTCTACCACTTTGAGCCACAGTGACACTTCCGGCTTTCGGAATTGAACCCAGGGCCTCATGCATGCAAGGCAAGCACTCTACCACTGAACCACCTTCCCAGCCCTAGCTAAGTGTTTTATAATAGATTTTTAATATTAAAATTTACAACTATCATATAACTATCATGTTGGACAATAGACTGCATCTGTTTTATATAAAAGTGTACCCACCATACTAACCAAATCAGAGTAAACACACATGTGCACATGTACACATACACTCACACTATTTTTTTCTCAGTATATATTGTATATATACAAAATATTCTTTAGTGGATGAGCATTTAAATCTAAATTTATCATGTCTTCAACAACTAGAAACATAGTATAGATTATGTCTCGTCCAAGCTCAAGGCATTTTAACATTTCCCAAAGGTTACATGATAAACTGTACATATTTGTTCTGAACTTCCTAGTCTAGAACCCCGACACTATCCTCAGAGTGGCAGAATGGAAGAGGGGTCAGGCTTTACCTCTGCAGGCTGGGATATGAGTACTTAATTTTAAAGGAACAGAAAATTTAGACAGAAGAAGTACAGCATGTCTCTACTTAGGGCATTTTGTACTTCACTGCATGCTGTGTACAATGTGTGAGATGTAGGTGTTTCTGCTGAGGGGGAGAAATCCAATATTCCTTTTTAGAGGGAAGGGATTCAGCACCATTCATAGTTTACAAAATATGGGGGTTATGGCAGTTAAAAACTAAATGCTATTTAACTTTTCTGCACAAAATATCTTTGGTAGTTTCCCTAATTGTTTGTAGTACCCTGCAGTTTTCCTTGTATATTCTTATCTCTGTCCAACTAGAATGTAAACTTTTGGAAGGCAAAATTCAAATATGTACTCTCAAATAGATTTAATGCTCTCACTATAGGTCTAACATATAATGGGAATTTTTGCAGTATTTTATTTTTATAATTGCCTTTCCTAATCCTTGCATGATGGAACAATGTTGAGTTAAAACAAAAACTTAAAGGGCCAGCATGTTTTGAAGGAATATTCCAGATTAGTGATTTGCTTCTGGAACAATTTTATTTGCTGTTAAACAGCATTTCAATGCAGTTTCTTTCAAAATGTCATATTGTAACATATTTATGGTTGTCAATAATGGGGTAATTAACAGTAAAATAACAAGTATAGATTTTCAGCAATATAATTACACTTTCCTCTCAGAATTGTGTGCATGTAATAGTGGTTAGTCAGTGAATGACCCTCCCAACAGACTGGCCAGTTGTATCCCTTGAATCCCTGCTGAGCAGGATGATAGCTGTGGCCTTAGATATTTTCTCGGTTGGTTCCATATCTTAGCTATGATAAATAATGCTGCAATAAACATAGTTCTGCTGGTAGCTTTAGTATGGTCTTGTTTATGATCATTCAGGTAGATGCCCAAAAGTGGAATTGCTGGGTCATAGGGAAGCTCTATGTGGAGTCTTTTGAGGAACCTCCATACTACTTTCCAAAGTGGTTGAACAAGTTTACACTCCCACCAACAATGCAGTAGGGTTCCCTTCTGTCCACATCCCCTCCAGCATCTGTTGTTATTAGAGTTCTTGATTATAGCCATTCTAACTGGGGTGAGGTGGTATCTCAATGTTGTTTTGATTTGCATTTCTTTTATGGCTAGAGAAGTTGAGCATTTCTTCATGTGTCTATTGGCTATCCTTCTTTCCTCTTCAGAGAAGTTTCTCTGTAAGTCTTATTTACTGGGCAATTGTTTCTTTGAGGTTTTTGCACCTCAGTAGATGAATGGATCAAGAAAATGTGGTATATATACACAATGGAATTCTATGCCTCCATCAGAAAGAATGACATTGCCCCATTGGTTAGGAAATGGAAAGATTTGGAAAAAATTATATTGTGAAGTAAGCCAGGCCCAAAGAAACATAGGTCCCATGGTTTTCCTTATTTGCAATAACTAGTATATGTCTGAGACAAGCAGAAATGGTCAGATAAGTTGATGTTAGTTGAAATGAACCTCAAGATAAGGACTCAAATGTTTTTTTCTTTCTTGCTATTGTGTCTAACATTTATAAGATATTTCTTTGTTGCTTTGTATGTCCCTCCCCCATGGTATAACCCCTGTTTCCACTGTATTTGATGTTGGTATAATTTATGGAGGGGAAGGGAAAAAGCAAATTGTTTAAATAGGGATACAGGTGGACCCACTGCAACAATGAGATGTACAAGACATTATGTCGAAAAACGAACTTTAAGCCGGGTACCAGTGGTTCATGCCTGTAATCCTAGCTACTCAGGAGGCTAAGATCTGAGGATCGAGGTTCAAAGCCAGCGCGGGCAGGAAAGTCCATGAAACACTTATCTTCAATAAACCACTAGAAAACTGGAAGTGGTGCTGTGGCCCAAGAGGTAGAGCGCTGGCCTTGAGCTGAAGAGCGCAGGGACAGTGCCCAAGCCCAGAGTTTAAGCCCCACGACTGACAAAAAAAAAAGAAAAAGGAACTTTACAACTTTGGTGTGTGTATGTGGGAGGGAGAGATGGAAAGGGATAGTAAGGGGAAACATAGGAGGAGGCAACAATGCTTGATAAGAAATATAACTTGCTCATGTAATAGTAACCCCTCGATCCACTATTTTCACATTTTAAAAAAAAAGATATTTTCTCGGGGCTGGGAAGACGGTTCAGTGGTAGAGTGCTTGCCTTGCATGCATGAGGCCCTGGGTTTGATTCCTCAGCACCACATAAGCAGAAAAAGCTAGAAGTGGTGCTGTTGTTCAAGTGGTAGAGAGCTAGCATTTTGCTGAAGAGCTGAGGGATAGCACCCAGGCCTAGAGTTCAGGCCCCATGACTGACACACACACACACACACACACACACACACACACACACACTTTCTCCACCTGTATTGAATATGCTCTGATTATCAATACTGTAGCTACGCTAGAAATGGAAGTGAATGAAAAATGAAGCTGGGAAAGTTAGCATTGCATTCTATCAAAGTAATGGCAAATCAGGGCGATGATACCTTGTTCTGCTTTAGGGAAGGAAGAGAAAACAGGACCATCCCCCAGGATCTATTCTAATGAGAAAAAGAAAAGCAAAAACAGCAAAAAACAAAAAAATGTGAAAACTGTAACTACTAAAGGAGATATAGGTAGGTAGGATAGAGATGTAAATACACAGAGAAGACTACGTAGAGATTGACAGAATGTATGTGATGAAGACAGTGGTCAGAAGATGGATTGAGAAAAAGAGACAAAGAAGAGAATGACAGACTTATAGACTCCTAATTAAGTCAAATGCCATTGTTATTTGACTCCTGGTTCTTTTTTCGGGTGTGCTAAGCCATGCTGCCATATGGTGGCAGTGCTCTTACTGGTTGGTGGCAGTGGTAGTGAGGGAACGTATATCTCTTGTCATTCATTTTAATCCCTAAATTTCATTGTCCATGATTTCATTCTTTTCATCTGAGGAGAAAAGGAATGTGTTAGTGGTCTGGCTGTCAATACTATTTTCCCTGAAGATGAATGGAACCTATAAAAAACAGTCAACCCAAAGGTAGTAGTGAGTTTCCAGATAGGCAAACCTAGGCCTACACATGCTACACATTCTATGCAGTTGTGTCTGGAATGCAATGTCATTACAGAACTGTGTCCTAGTAAGAACCAAATCCTCAAGTCAATTCACCTTGCCAGTGACCCACATATGCTTTATATTTAGGTTGTATTTCCTGTCCTTCTGTCATAGAGTTCCAGCCCCTATCATGGTCTATATTTAGAAAGCAGTCCAGGGGCAGGTATGATGAGGCATACTGCTTATAGTCCCACCTACTTGGGAAGCTGAGGCAAGGGGGTAGAAACTAAGCAGTTTGAGTTAGCCTGGACAACACAGGGAGAGTATGAAGAAAACAAAACAAAACAACAAACCAGTTTTCTTACATCAGTCTGGGTATGTCGCTGACAGCCACTGTCCCATCTTGAGTCTCACTTTCTCCATCTTCCTCCTCTTCTTCACTACTCTCTGACTCTTCACTGGAGGAAGAGTAATCTGTCACTTTCTTCAGTGGACGGTTTGTTTCTTCAATCCGGAGTTCTCTTAATTCTTTGGCTAATGCCGTCAGATCCTACAAAAGAGAAGTTTGTTCAGCCTATGAATCGTAGATAGAACCAAAGCTATATCTCTCAGCAAGTCAGAGCTCCAGCTTAAGCAACAAAGAAAAATAAAAAATAAAAAGCTCTATAGAGAACTGTGACAAACATAGTTACTGCATGGAACTAAGAAAACGATGTTTGTAGCGTGTAGAAGCTAGAAAAGAAAGATGAAACCAATTTCAACTTCGTTTAAAACCAATAGCTAGACTGAAACTATCTAGTTCTGCATATATATGTGCAAATATATGTATGTCAGGTTGTGTGCATACACATACATATACACACACATTGTGTAATGTTAGCACCCTCAGTTAATGGGAAAAATCCATGGGATGAGAAATTGTTTCCCAGTATTCTGGAATTCCTTCCCAAGCCACAGGGATGGCCTCTCCCCTCTATAATTACTACTGTATCAAAATCTACCATCAGTCATAGAACAGAGAAGTTCCCAAGGTTCATTTGGTGTGTCATCATTCCCTAGAGAGAAGAGGGACCACATCAAATGATGGCTCTTCCCAAGCCTAGTGCTATTGAAATTTATAGCCACAGAGCTGAATTAATTAGGAGGAACAGTAAGAAAGGAGTTTTCTTCCAGAATGATACAAGTTTTATTTTCTCCACATGTTAATTCCAGTCACCTGGCAGAAGCCCTGACCAAGAACACTGAAATGAATGTGCAAACACCAAAAGAGATCATTTCCCAGTTTACCATGGGTATGATGAATCCTTAGCCTTATGGATATGATGACGTGGGATTTAATCACCAGGCACATTGCAGGCAGTGTGCTAAGTATCTGACTACCTTTTACTTTACATGCTTTCAGAGCAATGCGGAGGGAAGCAGTTCTGCAAAAGCATGGCCGCTCTAATTTGCATGGGTTAACTGCCCATGGCACACAGCATGCAAATGAGGAAAAAGCAATTTGACATCAGTCTTACCATTTCTCCCTATTTAGTGACCCATGTGGGAATCAGAGCATTCAATGAGAGACAGGGGATTAGGGAGAAAGAAACTCATTGAAAAATACTAAATCCCAAAGCTTTCTTGTGGCCATATTCTCTCTTTATTTCAGTCCAGAAATGGATTTATCAGATTTACCCAAAAAGGATTTAAGTCATCTTAGTGACATAGATGATGTTAGCTAATCTGTCCCATACAACTGGTTAGAAGAAATACTAATCAATATACGTAGCTAAATTGTAATTATAATTTTATTTGTGAGAACAAGCCATCATTTCTCTATTCCCACTTATATGGCAGGCATCACCATTGTGGGTAAAGACTAAAGGAGGAAACACTTTAAATATTTCACTTGAAATTTATGAAGTTCAAAGTGTTAAAGAGTCATTTTCTAATTTTACAAAAAATTCCACAAGGAAAGCAATAATTTGTGTTCTCTAGTTACTTGAATGGGAAACCTTTGGAAAAGGAGAGTTTCTGAAAATTCAAACTGCATTGTATACACAGACTAGGGCTTTCCATGTATGCATATTCACCAATGCATGGCCCAAGCTCAGTGGATGTGTTCATCCATCAATGAGAGCATAAATAGAATTGTATAAAAAGGTCCAATGGACAGGCATGGTGGCATATGTCTGTAATCTCAACTATGTGGGAGGCTGAGATAGTATGATTTGGTCTAAGGCTGGCCCCAAGCAAAACCTGAGACACTATTTAAAAAATAAATGGGGGCTGGGAAGATGGCTCAGTGGTAGAGTGCTTGCCTTGCATGCATGAGGCCCTGGGTTCGATTCCTCAGCACCACATTAAACAGAAAAAGCCAGAAGTGGCTCCGTGGCTCAAGGGGCAGAGTGCTAGCCTTGAGCTGAAGAGCTTAGGGACAGCACCCAGGCCCAGAGTTCTGGCCCCATGACTGACAAATTAAAAGAAGTGCTGAGGGGCATGGCTCAAGTCGTAAGAGTATCAGAGTTCAAATCCCAGTATTACAAAAAATAGCTCAATGGTATATAAATAAAAGTATACTATTAAAGAAGAGGAAAACTACCATCCTTCAGGCTTTTGTATAAATCTATTTTTAGTTTCTTTGGCAATGGACCAAGAATAGGAAAAGCTAATAACTAAATTTCAGCTTTTTACTATTTCTTCTTGATAATTGGCAATGTTCACCTTTATGAAAAGTGAGAGTATGTTCTACTTGAGAACAATGGGAACAGTCTAGATATTGTTAAAATGAGGAAAGGAAAAGGATATTATCATCTTCTAAAACGTATTAAATTTGTTTTGTATTTTGACTTTTATATATTAAAACCATGTTAAGTCTCATCGAAGTATGTAACAATTAAAATGTTACTTGCCATTAAAACTACATTTTATTATGATTTAAAGAGAGAATATGGCTTAAAAAATTTATTTCTATTGGCTTTTTAGTCCTGAGTAAAATATAAAACTATCAGCTATGACTTCTGAAAAGTAATGATATTTTCCCCCAGACTTGGTTTTCTTTATCATTGACATTTCAAAACAATACAAGAGATTTAGTAAATCAAAATTATTTAGAAATATTTAGGTGATCCATAGCCCATTGATTAAAGAAAGCCTCCCTTATTAAGACGATCTGTATTTTCCTAAATGCTCTACTTAGAAACACTTTAATGTTCTGACCTGCTTTGCAATTTTGTTTTAATCAGAATTTTTTATTTTCTGTATTATTAAAAAGCTCTTTTTCTGAAACATTAGGCATAATTGAAAATTCCTTTCAAGTTTAATTGGTAACAGCTTGAGGGGTGAGACACATATGAAAGTTTCAAGGTAACAATAATGAGTAGCTCAAAACTAATACCCTCAGCCACAGAAAATTAATCTTCCATTGACAATAGCCTACTACTGTTAGCTGGAGTTTTGTTTCTTATGGAAAAATTTACAAAAGCAAATTTAGAGAAAATAGACACTACTAGGCTCAGATCCATTTTCGTACATTTTATTCTCTGACAATTCCAATTTTCTCCATATAATGAGCCTTTGTGGTAATTTATTGCTTGGCTCTCACTAGCCTGAAGCTAAAACATATTAAAAGATGAGGAAGAGAAGTGCTATTTAGCATGAAAATATTTGAGAATGTATAACTAAAAAATACGACCGAAAGGTAAGATTTTCAACTATGGTGCGTATGTGAGGATTGTTAAAAAGCTTGTATTCCAAGACTTCTGTGATGGAATGCTTGTTAGATTCAGAGATATATCATTTTTCATTCTAATGAGTTTATTTAATCTGACAGTTATGGACATCTTTAATGAAAATGTGCTTTTTTAGACCTCTTTTTTAAAAATGTATTTCATTCAAATTTTGGTTCAGTTTCTTGAACCAAAAGATTTTTAAGCTGGTCTTTTCATTACATGTTAAAATAATTTCTTTGCTTTTAGGAATTAAAGATCGGTTGCTTGGCAAGTCTCTTAACCTCAGAATCCTCATATGAAGGAAAAGACGTTAGACCACTCATTTTTACTCATGTTCCATCTCATCTATGTATGTGGGTGATCTGGAATTTACAAATCCTGCTCACTAATGCAAAGATTGTGGTAAAGCCAGTATTGGCTTCTGTATGTAGTCTTCTTTTCACATGTTGAGCTGCAGCAAAGTAAGAAATACTTGTTTCTGAAGGTTGTATTTCGTAATCACAACATTGCTTCATGATTTCATATTTCTCACACTGATTTTTTTTTCTGATGGGGGGGTGATTTCATAGGGCTTGGGCACTGTGCCTGAACCTCTTTGTGCTCAGGCTAGTGAGTCATAGCACCATTTCTGGCTTTTTCTGAGTGGTTTATTGGAGGTAAGAGTCTCACGGACTTTCTGCCTGGGCTGGCTTTGAACCATGATGCTCAGATCTCAGTCTTCTGAATAGCTACGATTACAGGTGTGAGCCACCAGTGCCTGGCTTCCCAGATTGATTTTTAAGAAAGATTAGGCTCCTAGATTATAAAAACTTATGTTTTCAAAAAGAATTTTAAGGCTTTTTATTTCAATTCTGGCAAATGTTATTTAAATGGCAGTCAATGAGAGGGAAGCCTTGGTGGGAAAAAGTCGAATGTTGAGTTCAAGGTATTTAAACTGTTGAGTTCAAGGTATTTAAACTATGGCTCTACTGATATTGTGGGCATGCTCTTTTACATTGTAAGATCTTAACAGTATCCCTGTCCATAAAATGCCAGTATGTCTGCCCCCCCCCCCCCACACCTCAATTATAACAACCAAAACGGTCTCCAGATATTTTAATTGTCTTTTTAGGGAAGAGAAATACATGGCTGAGAGCCACTGGATTAGGAAGGACCAAGTTATCCTGTTTTTTCAGTATATCCAGATCAGAGATATTCAGAGACAGGGTTGTTTATCACTTGAAGAGCTTTGTCTGGCTACATATGGCCTCAGCAACTTGGGTGTGCACTTTGTACTACCACAATTACTTATCCAATGTGATAAGTACCCTGAAATCAATAAAGTAATTTTTAAAAGCCTACGATATCCAGGTTAAATGCCCTTTCCCTCAGATGATAGTACTTTCCCTCATAGGAACTGCCTTTGTGCCTATTTCTGAACTCAGATATTTTCCCTTGACCCAACCATTTTATTGGCAATCACAGCACAAGAAAATCATTCTCTCCAGGTTTCTTGTTCTGGGAGAGATTTAGTAAAAGTTGGACAATTCTGCTGTCTTCATTATTATGAGGGAAAGGGCCAAGCAAAGTCATAGAGCAATTAGAAACATTCCCCTCTTGTCTTTCAAATAAAAACCATCCGCATATAGTAGATGTGGTCTCGGTTTTTCTTTTTTCTTCTTCTATTTTTGTTTTTTAATAAAAAAGCAATTCTCTAGAATAACTTTATAACATATTCTGAATGGTTGGGGTGGTTTTAACTCTGCAAATAGGAAGTTGTTTGGTGAAGACCATGTGTAGAAACATGATTTTCCTGTCTTCAAAAACAGCCCTGTGCCTCTGGCCCAAACCTCAACTACCATCTTGGCTTTCTATAACACTTTAGTTCACATCACCATGAGTGGTCCTTATCAATTAGGCTGATCATATATTTTTATTCCCATTTTGCAGATGAGTGAATTGGCCCAAAGCCAGCTATTTATGGGGGAAGGGCAAGATTTAAGTGCAGCTTGCTGATCCTCTACACCAGTGCTTTTTCCATAAAATTTTACACAAATAGTGCTCAGCAGAGCTACAGCCTGGATGCTATAATAATGGTAGTCTTCAGATTCCATGCAGGTAGGACTCTTTGCAAGGCCTGGCTCTTAAAAATAATTTTACTGTGCTGTATTCATGCAGGTCTGACAAACAGCAGTAAGGCAGTCATTCTTCTTAGCAAGCTACCTGTGACTGACAAAGCCATATATTCTTTCTAATAGAAAAAAATGTCTCCACAGATAAGGAAATAAAGTCACTCAACTTGCCAATATTCATTAAATGCAGTTGCTGCTGCTGCTACTGTTATTAATGTTCCATAAAATCTAACAATATCTAGTAACTACTCATTCACAAAGCACATACCATAAATTTTGGAGTATGCTAAATGATACTACTTTTCTCTCTTAGCAAAACCACTGAGAACCATCTCTTAGTTAGGCTGTTCAGTATAGGTTTGCTACTGGAAGGAGAAGCAGTGCCATTGATAAAGCACTAATAGTTGTTATTAATCAGTCAGGATCATTGGAAGAGTGACAGTTTTTCTTAGTGGAAAGGCCTCTAAAGCTTTATCTGAGTAGGTCTCAGGCTGGCTTGTGGTGAAAGGGCTCTCCTTCCAGAAGATGACTGTGTACAAGCTGATGCCACTGGCTGCCTTTCTGAACATCAGCAACAGGATAGATACCACTTTCCTATTTATATTTTGTGAAATCATGACCAAGAAAAGACAATACTGACCTCATCTATAGCTTTCTTATAGCTCTGAGGTAAGAGGAACCCAATCCAGAGGAATCCACAGAAGGGGAGAAGCCAAAAGAAAAGGAAGCAGGTTAGACAAAAAAAAAAAAAAAAAAAAGAAAGAAAAAGGAATTGTTAGTACCAAACCGATAAAGAATAAAGGGCAATGCAAAGAACTCAGAGTGATGTAAGTTCTCTTCATCATTACTCAATACACACTTCTTACTTTAAGATGCAAACACAAAAGGGTAAACCCAAAGGCTTTCATTGCCTTATCAGATAGTGTCTGGAGAAATAAATAAAACAAGTGGATAATGACGCATCCCACCTTACAAGCTTCCACTTGCAAATTTTAGCCTGCGTACTCTTTATTTCTTTTTTTTAAGGTTACTGGTGGTCCATTATGTAACAGTGATGAAACTAGAGGTCAAGTTTTCATCCTTCTGTCATGTGCTTATCTAATTTTATTCCATAAAGGACAGTAATTTTAGTCCATAAGACAGTTCCTAAAGGCATATAAAGTAGCAAAAAAACTGATGTAATTCATATGACTATATAGGGAAATACGTAGAATATATGACAAAGCCATAGTAGGTAAGTGTCCTGAACTGCTAGTTTTAACATTTTTTTGCCCAAGTTGCTGAGCAGATATTATGCTATGACTTACTTTTCCTGTCTTTTTTTCCCTCTATAAAGAGGCACTGATAATTAGCAAAATATCCAAAAGCAGAGGAAGCAAACTAAGATTAGTTCTTTCTTAATCAGGTATAAAGTTCTAGGTGCTTCTAGCATCCATTCTTACTGAGCTCAACAATTTCTGTCACAGTCATGAGTGTATCCCCAGCTACTTTATCTTGTGGGCTCTCTGGTAAGTTAGGAGTTCTGAACTGGGAGAGATAAAAGCACTCACAGCTGGTCGACTGGGCCGGGTAATGTCCCTGGATTCTTCTGGTTTCACCTTGGAAGGCTCATGTGGGAGTACAGGTGACCCTTCCGACTTACTGTTGGCTAGAGGAAAAACAGAGGATGGAGAAAAATACAGCATAACCATCAAAAAGCGCTGACGCATGTTCTGAGTGAGTCACCTGTGAAGTCTCCCTTCAGATTGTTCAGTGCACATACCATTCACTCAGGCAAATCCACAAGTGCATTCATGAAAAAAGAATTAATGTTCAGGAAACAAAACCAAGCAGATGCACTGAGGCCTGTAACCTAGAAGTTATTGGCAACACTAAGAAAAATGATAGCAATTCCCACTGCTATCCCATTGAGGTCTGATGTTAAATGCTTTCTGTCAATTATATTACTTAATCCTTGCTCCAACCCAGTGGTGAGGCACTGTCCTCCTAAGTTATAGTTGAATTCTTATTTACAAAGATGGTAACACCAGCCTGAGGTGATGAAAATTATGTATTCAACTGTGTTCTTTCTGGCTTCTGAAAGTTTTGTTCTCATTCACTCTGCTAAGCCACATCATAAGTGAAGCTTCTAAGCTTTGTTTTTTCCTTCACTATCTACTCATTGAAATAGATTACTTTCATGGGATTTTAAGGGGAAAAAAGAAAGGAAATCTCATTTGGTGGAATGGTTTTTAAATGGGGCTAGGGAGTGGCTAGGGCCTTTAAAGAAGCAGAATGAGGTAGGACAGGCAAGATACTGGTAATAAAACAGGAAGGGTAATAGAAGAAATGGAAGAGGAAGCATGGGAGAAACTTCTTAAAGTTATGGAGCTTCTGTCTGGTTTATGCACTCAGAGATAAGTGCACAGACAGACTAGAATAGGAGAGTTTCTTGTTTAGTTTTAAAGTGGCTTTTCCTAGACAGAGACATACCAGGAATACAACAGCTATTTTAAGCCAGAGGAACTAGAGGCTAAAGGAAAGAATGTATGAAGTAAGCCTGAACAAGATCAGAGAATTCAAATTATATATGTATGTGTATTTCTGTGTGTGCAAATATAATACATATATAACTTAATGTGTATAAATATATAATATATGTGTGGGTAATGTACATGCATATGTACACATTAAGCATTTTATATATATACACATTTGTATAAAAGTTTGGTTTTCTTTAGTATTTGCTTTAACTATATGAAGTTGCTTGTGAATAGAAAAATGGTAAAGAATAAGCATTTTCTAGGTTAAGAAAAATTTGTTTGGATCATGGCTAGCTCTAGTATCTGTCACAGGATACATTAGGGGGGTAGCCATGGGCCAGTCTAGGTCCCAAGTTGCAGATGTAAACATCACGTTAGAAGTCAGGATTTGTAAAAAATAGAAACATGGAAATTTTACTTATTTGAAATTTAAAAGCTATATTAGAGATAAATTATGGTTGTTTCTACTGAAGAAGCTAAGAAAGAATGGTTAGCTTTCATCAGAGACAGTATTTGTACAATTATTAATACTTGTCATATTACACTTCAAAATGTTCTAGTCTTAATCACTTGGAAGCAAAATTTTCTTCCAAAGACAGTGATTCTGAAAGTGAATTTTGATCAGCTAGAAACAAAGTGTTATGCATAATCACCTGTACAATTAATACTGTTTTGTGGGGTTTCTCATTAGTAAAAACTAAACAATGATGAATGATTTGAATTAAATACTTCAAAAGGCTAATTTTTACCTATCTACCAGAATAGTCAAATACATTTTTTTTGGTCATGGGCTTGAACTCTGGGTCTGTGCCCTATCCCTCAGCTCTTCAGCTCAACGCTAGTGCTCTACTACTTGAGCCACAGTGTCACTTCTGGTTTTCTAGTGGTTTATTGGAAATAAGAGTCTCACGGACTTTTCCTGCCTGGGCTGGCTTTGAACTGTTATCCTCAAATCTCAGCCGCCTGAGTAGCTAGGATTACAGGTGGAGCCACTGGCGCCAGGCGTAAAATGCATTTTTAAAGTCAAAGACTTTATTTCTTCTTTCAAGTCTATTCATTCTACATTAGTGTTTATGGAATTTTATTTTGAGAAATACCTGGAATTATGAAGTATGTTTAGAAGACTAAAAAGCATGGTTGACGCAATGAAAACAGGACATTTGTGGGTATATGAAATTCTAAGAAGAAATCAAATGAGAATGGAAATTGAGATAAATGGTAAGTAACCATATTCACTGATGTCCCTGGAAAATATTAGTACCTAAGATTTGAGATTTTTCCATACTCTTGATGTCTCACATACAATTAGGGATGGTAGATTTGTACTATTGGGAAACTAAGGCTGAAGCAGCTGAAGGTACAGAGGCCATACCAGGACATGAGTCAGAAGTGACAGTTTCCCTGCCCCAGCTCTCCTCCCAGGAAATAGTCCAGGGAAAAGTAAAAGAATTACCTCGAACTCTGGTTCTTTCACTGGATCCTGCCTGTGACCCAGGCTGAGAGCCTCCCTGGGAGCTGGGCTGGGAGCTGGGTGTGCTGGAGCTGGAGGAACTGCCACTGCTGGTCCTCTGCAAGGGGCTCTCCAAGATGGGCTCTGTCCTCCGGAGGTCAGGGTTGCTGCGTGAATGGCAGAACACTCTGATTACAAGCTTCATACCATTTTTCAAACTTTCTATCTAATGAGGAGTCAATCCAAATTCCATAAGGAACCCAAACAACTCAATAGCAAGAAAACAAATAAGCAGATTTTAAAAGGGAGCAAAAGACCTGTATAAACATTTCTCAAAAGAAAACAAACAGCCTATTGGCTTAAGGAAATTAAATGATGTTAGAATGGCTATTATAAAAAAGACTATAAAGATAGTAAGTGCTGTCAAGGCTGTGGAGAAAAGAAACCCTTGAATACTGCTGGTGGAAACGTACATTAACCAAGTTAACATGATTCAGCAGCTCCATAGCTGAGTATACACCCAGGTGAAATGAAATCAGTATGTCAAAGAGATACATGCATTCAATATAGCATTATCCATAATAGCCAACGAATAGAATCAACTGTGTACACTGAAGCATGAATGGTATAGAAAATATTGTATGTATAAGTACATAAAATTGTATGTGTATATAAATACACAAAATATATAAAATACACACTTATGTATCAATCACATAAGGTAAATACTATGTGGTCTCATTGTATACAGACAAGTCTAACTCAGAAAAGCAGAGAATGGAATGGTGGTTAGCATACAAGATTGTGGATGCTAGTCACAGGGAAGAACTACCTTTAGACAGGATGAATGAATTCTAGATTTATTGTCACCATGGTAACCACAGTTAATAATACAGTATACTTGAAGTAGATCTCACAAAAATAACTAGTAGAAGTGATAGATATATGAATTTTATTATAGTGATCCTTCACAATTTATGTATCTATCTAAATGTCACATTGTATACTGTAATTTGTCAGTTGAACCTCAATAAAGCTTAGGAAAACAGCTTGCCATTGGTAGACTAGCATCATCCAGTCTCACTCCTAATGCAAAAGGGTAAAGAGAATACTGAGGTCATTCATGCACTGAAAGAGTTAAAGGAAGATGGCAGCAATACATTCCCTGTGGGCTCCAGGCCAGGTACTGAATGCGCAGGGGATGAACTCCCAACCCAGTTCCTGTGTCAGCACATTAAAAGCACAAGACTCAAGATTGTGAATCTTGCCAGGCGCCAGTGGCTCAGGCCTGTAATCCTAGCTACTCAGGAGGCTGAGTCTGAGGATCATGGTTCAAAGCCAGCCTGCGTAGGAAAGTCTATGAAACTCATATCTCTAATATACCACCAGAAAACCAGAAGTGGTGGTGTATCTCAAGTGGTAGAACACTTGCCTTTACCTGAAGAACTGAGGGACAGAGCCCAGGGACAAGCCCCATGACCAGAAAAAAAAAATTATGAATCTTAAAAAGAGGCTTGCTTTTACTGTATTCCTGTGTTCATCAAATAGAACTTGAAATGCATTAAAAGGCAAAAGGAGGAAAGGAAATGCATGAACCTGGAAATGTTCTACCATGTTTTACTACTTGGTAATTTATTTTCTAGTTTCTTTCTTTTGTATATGTGGAAGCATATAATCAGTTTGCTTCTTGCTTTTTTTTTCCTTTAACTGTATTGTATTTTCGTATGCTTCTGCAAACAGTAAAAGCTGCACAATAACCCATCTTATTGATCAGTTTCCCCATTACTAAAGAGTGTCGAGTTCATTGCTGTGAGATAGCTAACCATCTTTTTCATGCCAATATTCAATCACATCTCTGCTTCTTGGAAGTGGAATCCTTGGGTAAAAGGGCACACAGGCTTGGATATGTTTGTATGTATATATGTGCATGAGTATATGAAGGTATTACAATTTTCACCATAGTCTATGAATTCTTACCAGATTTTATGATAAGAATTCTGATGAATTGTACTTGGTTATTGTTGGGCTTTTAGATGTTGGTATTGGTGTATTGATTTTTGTTTATCTTATTTTGTTGTTGTTGTTGGTCATGGGGCTTGAAATCTGGGCCTGAGCACTGTCCCTCAGCTCTTCAGCCCAAGGCTAGTGCTCTACTACTTGAGCCACAGTGCCACTTCCGGTTTTCTGGTAGTTTATTGGAGATAAGAGTCTCATGAACTTTCCTGTCCTTGCTGGCTTTGAACTGTGATCCTCAGACCTCAGCCTCGTGAGTAGCTAGGATTACTGGCATGAGCCAGCGGCATCTGGCTGAGGCAAGATTGTTGATAAGTTGCCAAAGCTGTCCTTAAACTCATGAGCTTTTGCTTCACTATCCTTTGTGCTGGGATTATAGGTATATACCACCATACCTGTCCTAGAATGATTTTTTATTCTCATTTATTAGCCATTTATAATTCCTATCTATGAGTAACATAATCAAGTATTTTGCTTACACAGCTAGTAGAGTTTTGTGCATTTGTAATGTTCATATTGAAAGTATTTTCATATAGAAAGATATTCTTGGACTACTAGCAAAATTATTTTTAAAAGATTAAGTGCTAACTTTAGAACTAATTTTAAGTTTTTTTTGGCAAGTTAGGAGCTTTTTTTTTTTTTTTTAGATTTTACTGTATTATTCTTCCTCATATAATTACTGTCCTCAAAAAACTGTATTTATTCTCTTATTCAGAGTTTCATATTGGGCACTAGGTCAGGCATTTGAGTAATGTCAAGACACAGCTTAGCTAGGTTCACACAGCCTGTTGCATTAAGCTCGGCCTACATGAAGCAAAAAGGAGGCAGGAATCAGGGCTACCTGGGCCACCATTAACAATCAGGGAAGCTGTTCGAGAAGAGACAGCTAGTGATGGTGGTAGGAGGCTGTTTACACAATGCTGAGCAGGGACAATTCAGTGAGAATGAAATCGCAGAGCTCACATTTCTACTGCCATGCAATTGCTGAGGGACAACACTGTGACCTAGCATCAGGTCCTTCCTGTTTCCAACAACTTCAGTTTCCCAAACAGAATTTCACATTTTTGTGGAATCACCAAAATGCTACGATTCTAATACCATGAGACATCATATTCAGATGTAATTTCATGTTTTAACTTTGCTCTAGCTCGTTCAAGAGTACTGCACTATGTTGAATATTAGATGTTTCATATGTAAAAATTAAAAAAATAGAGTTCCTGCTCTTGAAACACTTATAGCTAAGTCTATTAAAAACCTGGTTATAACCCACAGAGCTATAACCACCCAGTATTTGATAAGGGAGCCAAAAACACAGGATGGGAGAAAGACAGCTTCTTTAACAAATGGTACTGACAGAATTAGCAGAATATGCAGAAAACTGAACCTAGATCCTTACATATCAACCTGCACCAGAATCGATTCCAAATGGATCAAATAACTCAACACAAGACTAGGTACCATGGAAATATTACAGGAAGAGATAGGGGCAACACTAGGGCTGCTAGGCATGAGTTGAAACTTCCTAAGGAAAGATCCAGAATTAGAGCAAATCAAAGAAAGACTGGATAAATGGGATTGCATCAAACTGAAGTTTCTGCATGGCAAAGGACATAGCTAGCAAAATAAATAGAAAGCCCATAGAATGGGAGAAGATCTTTACTAGCAATGCATCAGACAAGGGCCTAATATTTAAAATATACTTAGAGCTCAAAAAATTAACCCCCCCCCCAAACAAATTCTCAAAGAAACAACAACCCAATTATTAAATGGGCTCAAGACTTAGAGATTTCTCCGAAGAAGTTGTTAGAATGGCAATAGACACATGAAGAGATAGATGTTCAACATCTCTGGCCATAAAATAAATGCAAATCACAATAACATTAAGCTTCTATCTCACCCCAGTTAGAATGCCCATTATCAAGAAAACTAACAATAACAGATGCTGGCAGGGATGTGGCCAAAAGGGAATGCTACAACATTGTGGGAATGTAAACTTGCTCTACCACTCTGGAAAGCAGTATGGAGGTTCCTCAAAAGACTAAACATAGGGGCTGGGAAGGTGGCTCAGTGGTAGAGTGCTTGCCTTGCATGCCTGAGGCCCTGGGTTCAATTCCTCAGCACCACATAAGCAAAAAGAAAAAAGCCAGAAGTGGCGCTGTGGCTCAAGTGGTACAGTGCTAGCCTTGAGCTGAAGAGCTGAGGGACAGAGCCCAGGCCCAGAGTTCAGACCCCACAACCGGATCCCCCCCCCCCCAAAAAAAAGACTAAACATAGAGCATCCCTATGACCCACCAGTTCCACTCCTGGGTATTTATCCAATTGACCACAAACCAGGCTACACTAAAGCTACCAGCACAATTATGTTCATTGCAGCATTGTTTACCATAACCAAGTCAACCCAGATACCTCAGAGTGGATGAATGGATCAAGAAAATGTGGTTTATATATATAGTGGAATTCTGCTTCCATCAGAAAGAGTGATACTGTCCCATTCATAAGGAAATGGAAAGACTTGTAAAAAGTTATATTGAAGTAAGCCACATCCAAAGAAACAGCTTGTATGAGTTCCCTCATTTGTAGTTATTAGAATGTGTCTATAAATCTTCAAGGAAACAATAGATGGCAAGTGAAAAAAAATTACACCTAGACATGATTAATTAAACAGGATTCTAAATATTCACCCAGTGAGACCAAACGAGGATGTTCTTAGGAGAAGATCACAAAGGTTCAACAGCTATGTGCATATAATCATATATATGATCATATAAATGATGTTTGTTGAAATGATCTCCAAGAAATGGAAACAAGAGGTTTTTTTATTTTACTTTTTGTGTTTCCCCCCTTTTTGTCTCTGCTTTTATTTCTGTACTTTTTGTCTTGAATGTAAGTTTATCTGTTTGGGGGAGGGTGAGGGAAAGCACAGAAATGGTAGAACAAAGGCAGAACTATTTCAGCAATGATACTATACAACTTGAACTATACAACTTGTAGGAGGGGGTTGGGAAAGACAAAACTGAGAGAAAGCGAGGGAAGAGGTGACACTGTTCAAAAGAAATACATTCATTACCTGACATATGTAACTGTAACCCCTCTGAACATCACCTTTACAATTAAAAAAAACACCTGGCCATAAAAATAGTCACCCTTGTAAGCAGAAACTAAGCCAGATAATCATACTTTGTGGGACTGTATCTTCCATAAATATGTTGAACAGAAGAGACTGGGTAAAGTCAATAGAAAACAGTCATTATTTGTTTTTGTGGTAAGGGGCTTGCTAAGTCAGCCAAACAAACAGTAAAACTAAACACTGAATGTCTATTTGTAAACTACATAGTATTAGAGAACCAATGTTGATATTTTAATGGCATGGTTGTAACTATATTTGTATTATTTGTATCTAATCACTGAAATAGATTTGAATCCTAAATGGAGCTATCCTTCAATTTAAAAATGCCTAAAATTATAAATCTAGTTCTTAAATAACTTAAATTAGAAATTGTTACTTTTCATAAAAACAATCTATATTCTTAAAGCATTCCTCCTATTGTTCTCTTATAAAACAATAAGGGAATTAATATGCATAATTAATTTTTTGTTCTAAAAATTCATTGGCAATCAGCTGTGAGAGAAAATCTGAGAGCAATGAGCTCTGAGGTTCAACCATAGTACTGGCCAAAAAACCCCCCAAACAAACAAAAACACTAATCATGGCAATGAAATCTACACAGTGGAGACAACCAGTGAACCTGGTGAGACTCTGCATGTTGTACGTGAAAGTGGAAATGTTGCTGGAGTTTAGGGAACAGTCCTTATAGACTGAGGGGTCAGGGGTGGCACTGAGAAGAAGAGAGGACTTGACTCTGTTTTGGCAGGAAGGCTGGAGCAAAGACAAGGGCTAGCACATATGTAATCAGAGCCAAGTCTGTGTTAGGACATGTTTGCAGAAAAGGTTTTATAGCATCAGTCTTTAAGCCTGGCAGAGACTGTGTACCTTCCATGCAGGCTTATGTTTGTCTGACCAGGAGCAAGACAGGCAAGATCAGTTAGGAGGCGACTGCCATGTTAGGTGATGAAGTGCTGGGCTGTCTCAGCATAAAAAGGGGCATTAGCAGGTACAGAACTAGCTGGGATGAGAATGCATCCCTTACTGTGCTTAGAGCCTCCTCTTCTGTGTGACGCTAATTAGATCCCATGGGCATTGGGTCCCTGACCTGGGCCTCATTAGTACATATCCTCTCCACTGGAGCTAACCAGCATGGGTGCTGATCTTAATAGGTTGCTATTTTTACTGTTGGAGAATAAAAACACTTAATTTCTATGTAACCACACAGAAAAATACAGAAAACTTTACAATGACTTTTTACCTTATTATTACAATGGCTTTTACCTTATTATTATTTAGTAAAACATGAGTGATTTGAGAAAGTGTCACATCATTTGCATGCTTTTCTTCTTTATTTATGTATGGCCTTGCCTTGGGAAGGGGGTGAAGGATCTGAGAAAAGTGCTTTTAGAGAGGTTCAATTTCAGAATTCCATTAAGTCACAGTTGCCTTGTTCACCTATTAACTGACCCTGCTCAGATCTCAACATGAAAAAAATCTGAGAAACATCCAAATATATTTCTTGAAATGTTAAGCTTTAATTCAGACATTTGCCATCCTGCCTATAAAACAAACAGTAAAGCAAAAATGTGGCAATTATTCCATCTACTTGAAGTATATGAGGATTACAAAGTGATTTTGTGACAGCCCAAGTATTTGGGCCAAGTCAGATTAGCTGGCTGACCACCAAAATTCACTTTACTTTGTTCTTTGATGACATAGCTAGCTAAAGAGAACAAACAAGTCATATGAAGACAGGTTTGGGATGGGACAGAAAACTTTTTTTAAAAAAATTAAGCATTTAAGTCATTGGGTTTTGACTGGATGTTTCTGACTTAATTGAAGTCTGTTCAAATTCTGCATATACATGTTTGAGCAAATTTTAATTTGCTTTAAAAGAACAAATGGATCACAGTTAAATACTGAAGTACCTGGGGTTCTTTAAAGCAATATTGTTTTAAATGGTCAAATCAGATTTTGAGTTAAACTCACACTGAGCAGGCTGACAGGATATGGCATTTGGGAATCCAGGAGCAGGTGAGAATGGCCCACTGCTCCTGTGACGTGTGCGTGCTCAGCTGTGCCCATACAGGGTACTCATGGTGCTGTGTTGTCCCCAAGGCTTTAGCAGTGAGGAAGGGAACTGTCCAAGCATGTGATGGCAATACTTCCAGCTTGAGTGGGTAAGAGCATTTGAGAAGTAGGTTTGCAGCTCTACAGCCTTTTAAAAGGTAATGAGTTATCACAGGATAAGGATCAGTATCTTTAAGATTAGGAGGGACTGTTGTTAAAAGAATCACATATACCACATGTTGAAAAAGGTATGGAAATGAGTGCCCTCATCTCCCAGTAAATCAAGAATCCCTTCCCTGGGAAAAATGAGTAGTAATATTAGCCATACCTACACCAGACAAATGTGTGCTGAGTGGTGCTGTAAGAGCATAGACTTAAGGTTACCAGAGGTCCAATCCTAGCTTTACTACTTATTCATTTTGTTGCCTTGGGTTTCATGCTTGGCTCCTCCAGCCCAGAGACTGGTCACGGGACTAGCAGGAACCAATGTAACATCAACAAAGGTGCAAAGGCTTTACTAATCACTATGCATTGGCTCTCTCTCTCTCTCTTGAAACTCTGTACTGATATGGCCAAAGAAAGACCGAGGTCCACTCATCTGCTCAGTAAATTGATTCGTGAAGCTTTTTAAGAACTGCAATCAGAACTAGAGTTTTTAGAAAATTCATTTTGGGAACCCTGGGGATTGTACCCAGGGCCATGCACTTGGTTAGCAGAAGCTCTGCCACTGAGTTACATTCCTAGCCCTGACTCACATCTGAAATGCTGGTCACATGGTTGCAGGAGTATTCTGTAGAACTGTTCCACAGGCAGAAATAGGGAGTCTCCCCTCACCCAAGTGCGAGTCTTTGATTTTCACTGCAGCTAAATAATTACTACCTCTTAGCTTAGTTCTAAATTAGAAGAGTGTTAGGCATCTCTCACCTAGTCTACATTCTTTGGACCAAATACAATACTTGAGTGGTTCCAAAGGAAAAGCTCCTATTTTATAAGCTACTAACCATCAAATACCAATTATCTTAAACCCCAATGTCATTAAAATAGCACTTCACATGTAATAAAAAGCTACTTTTTCTTTTTACAGTGGTCAATAGTTCTTTCTTTTTGGTTGACAGAAGGAAAACTATTTAAAGGGGAAACAATCCCTGATCTAAGCAACTGATCTAATAATGAACAGAGCCCTGAGGGCAGGGATCAAAAGAGCAAGAGGCACTGGTAATTGGGAACTTATTGCTATTTGAAGAAAGGGTTGATAAATCCAGCTGCAATCCAGCACTAGCATTCCTCTGGCTCCCTGGACACACTGCTTTCAGGTCATCCACAGTGCTGCAAGACCAGCTTGGTGGGAGCCTGACAAGTTCCCAGGATAAAAATGGCTCTTTGAGAGTCTCTTAAAACTGGTAATTTCACTCAGAATGGGTTATCATCTTTGCCCTAAAGGGATTCACATTTTCAGTATTAGTTTCATCTTATTTATGGATTGATTCCTTGCTAAGATATGTGAAGAGGAAAATTAAAGTTTTAAGATCAAAAGCATTCCATATTGCAAAGATATGTACAAACAGCCAAAGCTATTGCTGTGTTGGTAAGCTGTTTCAGTGTCTCTGTATCTCTTCATTATGAACACAAGTCAAGGAGAAGGAAACAGTCTTCCCAAGCTCAACCTTTTTATAGCCTCAGCATAGAGTACTTCCTATTTCAGTAGATCCTAAAAATGGACATATTCATCATGAAAAATCTGAGAGAAACTTGATGAATGATAGCAACAAACATCTGTTACCACATAAAATCTCAGATACTCTTTACTTTCCAGCTTTTCACAAGACCTCTGAATCAACCAGAGGGAGGGAGTAAGTACAACTTCCTCCTGACTTTGGCAATCAGTATTGGTGATGGAAAGTTCTGGAAGAACACAGAAACTATGGATGTGTAGTTCAGAGTCAGTCATGCCACAGAGGTGTTGTCTCATTGGAGATGACCCTATCTGGTTAGAATGCACTGCAGTTGGTCATTATTCCCTTGACAATTGTCTTGCAGTGTTCCAATGGTTCCTAGAATTATCTCAACCTCATAGTCTCTAATATTGTTTGGGGAATTGCAACCAGATCTATATTTGTAAATGTGCTCTCAGGTTTAAAACCTTTGTGTCTAAAACGTGACTGGCTTTTGCGTTGCTTGGTTCACTTATTCATTCCTTAATTCATGACCTCTCCCCTAATTGTACATTGTACATTGAGGGTTCTTAATCTGTTGATGTAAAAGAAAGGAATGTATTTTGCCCCTTCAAAGCTGATAGCAAGACAGCTCATGCTTCCAAAGTGAAAAGAGAACACAGACATATTTTAGAGAAGGCCACCTTCCTCCATCTGCCTCTCCTTACCTTGCTCTGATGGGCTGAGATCCTAGTCTGGGTCCCAGAGCACTACCATTCCCAGGAGAATTCTTTCTGGCTAATGCTGGGGATATAGAAGTTGTTCTTTGAGGCACCTGGAAGAAAACCAGAAATCAGAAATGCTTTCCATAAAACAGCTTCTGAACTGTCTGAAGAACCTATTCCATTCCATAGATTTTCCAGAAGTTAAAGAAATCATCTTCATTCCTCAAAGGAATTTTGAACTCTATAAAACAGAACCAAATGAATTTACTGGGAGAAGGCAGTGAGGGCCATTCAGCAACCACTATGGAAGGTTGTTTTAGTCTCAAAAATATAGACAGATCAAGCCAAAAAGTTTCATTTATGAAGTAATATCTCTTGGTTGGGCAAGGGTGGTGGACTTTAGAAACCTCTTTGGGTTCTATTACCTTACTGGAAGCTGCATCACATAAGAGCCGTTTTTAGCTCACAATACAGAATATAAAGTTTGCTGAGAAATTAGGATATCAGCCTAGAACCAGTGACACAATTATTACATTGGTGAGCTCAGAGAATCTACTATTAATATAGATATTTGCAATTCCTGATCAGTTTGCTTTTGCTGATCAAGTTGCTTTTGCTAACCAAAACCCCATATGGTTTTAACTAAACATTGTGTTTGGAAGACTAGTTAGCAAATGTACTTATAAAACAGTACTGAAAATACTGGAATGGTTTTCAAAAAGCCTATGTGACTACCAGTAACACTTTTAAGGTATGTAGGCAAGTATATTATTAGCTTATCTGGGAAATGCCCCAGGCAGAATTCAACTATGTCTTAAGTATGCCTCCTTTTATGAAACACTTCTTTATGAAATCAAGCCGGCAGGTGTACCAGAGTCATTCTTTATTTAAGGCAATCACATGAGTCCTAGTATAGAAAATAATTTTTTATGTAAAATGTCATCCTCATCTTGAAAGATCAAATTTTGATTATGATTTATTTAAACATAAAAATTTATCTGAATGGGGCTGGGAAGTTGGATCAGTGGTAGAGCGCTTTCCTTGTGTGTATGAGGCCTAGGTTTGATTCCTCAGCACCACCTAAGCAGAAAAAGCCAGAAGTGGCATTGTGGCTAAAGTGGTAGAGTGCTAGCCTTGAGCTGAAGAGCTGAGGGACAGCGCCAAGGCCCTGAGTTCAGACCCCACAACTGACAAAAAGAAAAAAAAAAAGAAAAAATTAGAGGAGTGGACAAATTATGTTGCCATGTGTTCAAATTCCATGGTTCTACTGATATTTTCTATTTTCTCTTAATAAACATGAATGTTTGTAGAGAAGAAAGAGCCCAATGAAAGACTAAAAGCTGAATCTTTAAGGTGACCTAAAACAATGCCCACTTCGAGTTTCTCAGGCTCCTTATTTTTTACATTGAGCTTTGCTACTAAGTAACCTTTGTTGATGACATTTCTGCTTTCACAAAAAGACACCAATAATATCCTTTATGAGCTATATTTGTCATTCAATTTTTTTTTCCTGGAAATCTTTTGTTGTTGTTGTTGTTGGTTGTGGAGCCTGAACTCTGGATCTGGGCGCTGTCCCTCAGCTCTTCAGCTCAAGGTTAGCACTCTACCACTTGAGCCACAGCACCACTTCTGGCTTTTTCTCCTTATCTGGTGCTGAGGACTCGAACCCAGGGCCTCATGCATGGAAGCAAGCACTGAGCCACCTTCCCAGCCCTTTCCTGGAAATCTTGAAACCTTCTATTTGTCATAGCTCCCTGTGCCAAGACCAGAAGAAAAGGGATTCAGGAATCTCATGCACACATGTCCAGTACTTTGAAGACACATAGGTTGTTAGAAATGTTCTAGAGTTACCACCTGACAACTAAGAACAATAAAGAATTATACAGGAAAAATAAAGATTCAGACTGAGTACAGTGGGAGGCTGTCATTTTACCCTAAATTGTAACCATGAAAAAGTAAGTACTGGTAGAAGTGAATTTAATATTTAGTGTAAAAGGAACTTTTCCTAAGTAGAGGAAACTAGAATCTAAGGGCACAACCATCTTCTGAACCTCTGAAACCTCCGTGCTATTAAAAGTAAAAAATGAAAAAAAAAAACAGAATAAATGAATTTTCTACTTTTTATTTGGAAGTTTTTAGTGTGTCTATATAGAATTATTCATCAATGAAAATGTTCATTATTCCATTTTTAAAAATATGGATAGGAAAATACTTTGAAACAGTTGTGGCTGAGAGTTCTAATTATGGATACAAGGTATACTTAAGTCTAGTTCCTCTGAGAAAGCAAAGGTCAGATATGACAAATGACCATCCATGCTTTAGGTTGGGAAGAAGGGGAGTGCATGTGAAAGGAAGGTGCCTTGGTGCAAGGACATTCATTATTACCAGGAAAGGGCGCTGAGGAGAAGGGGTGGTTGTTAACAGCTAACGTGGTGCTGATGATAACAACATGCCAGTTATATTAACACTACCTTTGGTGGAATGTCTTCTTCCTGTCGTAACCAAGAACTTCGGTCAAACTTCTCAATGCGAGTGGGGAGAGGAGGGTTTTCAGAGGTGGGATCAGAGTTCTGGCGCGGCATCTCTACACGGTGAGAGGTCACGTTCAGAGCCTCCTGAAACCCAGACAGGCCCTTTGTGGGCTGCTCATGCACTGACTGGGAGGCGGTCAAGGCAGGTCCCTGCGATTTCACAGATACCAGCTGGGGGATCTAGGCACAAGCCAACATTAGAGTGCATGATGAGGAACAAAAGAAGGGAGAAGAGTTCTATACCATAGAGTCCACCACAGCTATCTACAGCATGTATTAAAAAAATACAACTACTAAAAAAATCAAATATAATCGCATTCGAAAATATTAACCTAGTGGAATAAAGATCCAATGTATTTTTGGGAATACCATTTTTGTGTGGTAACTATATGGTCTCAATAAGTTTAACAGCTTTCTATAAAGCCTTCTATTTAGATCAATGCATGAGGCTGAACCAGGGTTTGTGGTAAGAAATTTACTGGCTTAGTTGGAACTGCTAAGAAGTCAGTAGAATCACATGATAACTATCTTTACTGACCATTTGTTGATGGCACTACAAGATAAGTGCTTATAAGGCGTAATATAACTGAAGTAGGCCCTGAGAGGAGACTTGAGCTGGTACAGCTTCTTTCAGGCTTTGCCTTTGTTTTAGGGATTTTAGAAAAAAAAAAAAAACTTTAAACAAGGTTAACTAGACCTTGGCTCTAACCAGCCCAGTTCCTAGATGGAAAGAATGCCTCTAGGTCCCCCTTCCCCAACAACCTAATCCACCTTGATTGTTCTGTTAAGGACTGACCCGATAAAACAGATAGGTTGTAATCTGGCTCAAACTGGCAACATCACATGCTTATGGTAAACTCCACTAAACTCCTCTTTTGGGCATGCTTTTACCATAAACTCCACCTTTTGTGTGCTTACTGTAAGCTCCACCTTACCTGCTGAATTTGTGAGTCATTTAAGCCAAAAGTGATAGGCTGGTTTAAACAGCCATTATGTGACAAACTGTAATCTCATTGGCCACCTGCTTGTGGTCTGGTATGACTGTGCAATCTTTTGTGTGTGTGACAACCTCATTGGTCACCTGCGTGACCAGGCTTGACCTCGTGAATTTTGCCTTTAAAACCCTAGCTTGTGGGCCATTAGGGGTCGCAGTATCAGCTCCCAAGCCTGTGCTGCAGCCCTGACTGGTCAGTAGAGGAACCTTCTCAATAAAGTTGCTTGTTTGTTAACAACCTTGTTGCGGTGGGCTCTGTCACTCCGGACGACTAGGTGGGCTTGCCTGCCTGAGTAGGGGTCTTCCTACTACATTTAATGGGGGCTCATCCAGGATAGAGCTCTTAGCTGCTCCAACCTGAGGGGGGATTGAAGTCCCCAGCCTGGAGGACGGTGTGAGGGCACTCGGCTGTTGGAGAGAAGTTCCAAGAAAAGCCTCGAGGTAAGCGCGGTCGACCTAGGTAGTGAAGGCGCCAGAGTGAAGCCAAAAGTAGGGTGAGGCTGGACACAGCAGAGTCCCCTATGGCCGAGGAGGTCCAGGGACGCTTGGACCCCTCAATTCCACCAGTCCTAGCAGTCCTAGTTAGTTGGATGGGGGCTGGCTTGTAGAGAAAATAGGTTGAGAGGAAAAGTAACTTAGTTTTGGTGTACAATCGTGTCTGTCTGTGTCTCATTATGCTTTTGCTTACCATGCTTGTAACTGGATTTACTTTACAGGAAAAATATGGGGCAAAGTGAGTCCACAAGTCCACTCCTGGGACACTCCTAGACCTTGTCCTACTTCATTTAAATCTGCTTTTGTAACTTGCTTCTTTGTCAATTATGAAACTGCCACTGGCCACCTGCAAGTGGCTCCAGCAAGATCTTAGCCTCAGGCCTTGGACCAGGGGGTCTGGGCATGGGGGAGAACCTGCCAGTCTGAGGGGATGGCCACTAGCGACTTCTTTCCCTTGCCCCAAGATGACTGGGAATTCTCCTCCACCTTGGAAGGCCCCTGGGTCAATGTTTGCAGGAATCTAAAAGAAAAATCCTCCAGAAGTGAGTAGAGGGGGTTCGAGTCCCCTGGTAAGTGAATAGTGGTGAGATGTCGCCCCATTCACTGAGACCTGATTTTGTCTTTGTGGCCACTTGTCTGTCTTGTTTACTTTGGTGTGTTTTCTGAGGTAGGGAAGTTCTGGGTGAGAGTGGCAGGCTCACTCAGCAGACTTTGGATTCAGCTTGCTGAGTGGGAGCAGCACAGAGTTCTGGTAGGGAAGAGTTGGGGGCCCATTAGTCCCCAGCTTAGCCTTTGGTTCTTGTCTTGCCCTATTTTAGAATTGGTACCAGTTTTAAATGTGGATCCTTGGTTTTTGTGTTTGTGTTTTTGTTATTTATTTGAACATCTCTGGGGGAATAAAAGTTCCAGCCTCTGGCTGGGCTCCGCCACAGCCCTGCTATGTCCCCCTCCCTGTGAGGCGTTGAAGGTTGCTGGACTAGTTTGGTCCCCTTCAAGCCTCAGGCTGAATTTTCTACCTATGGAGGCTGCCTGAGGGGAGGGTGTAGATTGCTGTGAGCCTGGTTCAGCGACATTCAGCTGGTTCTGTTTAGTTTCAGGTGACCCCCTCCCCCCCCAACTTCCTCCAACTAAAGGTATTCAAAAGATCAATTGGTGAAATTCCTTGCTAAACAAGCAAGCCCTGGGAAAATGAAGCTCAACAACGGTACTTTGTTAAAAAAAGAAAATCTTGTCTTAAATATTTGTTATCTAAAGATTTTAGAAAATGTAAGTACAACTGATTTTAAGTGTGTTTTGTGTGCGTGTGACCATGTTAAAGATGAGAATTGTCAGCATGCTGTAAAAACTGGGTGAGTTTTAAGTTTAAAATTCAAAATGTTATGAGGTTTGGACATTACCAAAAACTTTAAAGAATCTTCACATTGTTTTAAAAGGCTTTTTAAGGATTCTTTAACTTGAAAATTAGAAAAGCTGGTATTTTAAAATCTAATATTTTTAAATGCATAAGCCTGTTTACACTGTAATCAACTTATCTGGCCTAACAAAAATGCATTGGCAGTTTGGGATTTAGTTCCCTTGGCAAAAATTTGGGGATAAATATTAGAAATTTAAATGCAAAGGTTACTTTAACACTGTCAAAGATGTTACCTGTTCTGTCTGTCTAAAACTGTATTTCATTCAAGAACCAAGAGAAAAGAAAGGGGAAAAACTTAGAAGCCAACAGAAGACCTATCTTTAGGGGTGAGGGGTGAGCAGGCAGAAGTACAGTTCAGCTGGTCATGCATGGTGGGACAGACCCTGGGGGGAGTCCATGCATGGTGAAAGAGGGCAAGCTGGCACAAACGCAGTTCATCTAAACCTAAAGCGTCAGATTGGGTGCGTGCCTAGTCCATAGGATGGGCCAAGTGGTCCATCTTTGTTCTGTCCCTTTTCCCTGCAGATAGACGCTGGAAACATGATGGTAAAAGTTAGTGATGTGGTGTTCTGATTAGCATTGCTAAAACTGCCCCTTGGATGTGTTAAAATTAAAATTAAGAAGGCCTTAAAAAGAGGGTTATTTGTTTAATGTGACTTGCTTTCAATGATGTTCTACGATTGGAATATGTTTTTAAAAGTCATAAAGGTGTTAAGTCTAGCTTCTTGGTACAGTGATGGTGATTGTAATTTTTTTTTTTTCCAGGACTGAACCCAGGGCCTTGCGCACGCCGGGTGGGCGCCCTTCTACTGGGCTAAACCCCCAACCCCTGTAATTCTTGTATTAAGGAAAAATTGTCATTTGAGTTTATAAGTTTTTAATGTGTATCTGTTTTCAAACAAGCAGCCAAGAGTCAATGAGTGACACTTGGCCTTAAGATTTCAAGGAATCTTTTCAAAACGCAAATGAAAACTAAAGTATAAAATATTAAAAGAGATTAATAAGAGGCTTAAAAATTAGGAATGGATTTTTGGATATAAAGTTTAAAAGTAAAATTGTTCTTAACATTTGCCTCAAAGTAAACAAAGGAAAAATTAGGATTACCAAAATAATTGCTAGTCCAGTTTGCTCTTGTAGGTATTTTTTTTTTTTAACAGTTTTCCAGCAAGCCTAGAGCAAAGCACAGAGGATTCTTACAAGTTGGTCAGATGCAACTTTGACTCTTAATAAGTTCCAGGTAAGAGCATGCTTAAAAGCTACTTCTATGTTGGCCACCTTGTTGCTTTTAATTGGAGTAAAGTGGCCTTTTATAAGACTCATTGATCTGCAAACTGGTTCAAAGCCAGCCCGGGCAGAAAAAGGTCCCTGTGAGACTGTCACCTCTACTCAGCCAGCAGAGTGCTAAAAGAGCAAGCAGAGTTGCTATGGGACTCAAAGTGATAGAGTGCTCACCTTGAGCTGGGGAGCTGAGGGACAGCACTCAGGCCCTGAGTTCAAGTCCAGCCATCAGCTCAGGGAAATGCCAGTGAGGCATTTATCCCAGTGTGGAGAAGACACTCCTGGGACGAAAGCAATGGTCGAGCATCCACAGCCAGTAAGTCACCACTTGGATGGCAGAAAATAATGTCAGATCCTAGAGTCATTTGTGCATGGCCCTTCAAAAATTGGTGAGAGCTAGGAGGTCATGGGAAGATAGTTTGTAAGCATGCCTAATGTCCATGACTATCCACCTTGTAAGGGACAGGAACTTGCCAGTCCTCTGTGATAGTAGTAAAAAGAAAAAGTTATAAAATGTGCGGGATAGTTTAAATCTCAACCCCTATATGTGCCCAAAGCCCTAATTGGCAGCAACTGAGCTGACATCAGCTACAAGAAATTCATATGTTCAAAAAAAAAAAAGGGGAGTTTATAAACCCGAGAATGTGTTTCTGTTGAATCTGAAGGCCTGCACAGGTAACTTAGGCATTGTTAGGGTCACTAGAGATCACATTCCTAAGCCATCCAGAAAGATGCTTTTGCAAACCAGAGTGCTAAACAAGCTACACTGCTGTAGCTGGAGAAAAGGTCTGTGCATTTGTCAAGAGTTAAAATATTATTAATGACATCTATCCCTGGTAACCTCTTTGTAAAATAGGCTAAGGTTATAGGTTCCTGATTAGGTAGGATCAATGCCCCTGAAGTCAACTTGAAGAAGTTGATGGACCTTTGCCCATCAACCCCCTTTTAAGATTAAGGGTCCAGAGTCAGTTTTGGAGAAATGAGGCAAAATAGATAAAATAATTTTTTTTTTTTTAGAAAAAGGCATAAAGAATAGTGTTAACAGGTGTGCAAGGTGGAGACTGTATCTGTCGGAGATGGTTACAAGACTAAGCCTTCTGTGTCTGTTTACAAAAATATCTGGTTAGTAAAAAAATTGTTATTTTGGTTAATTGTCCTGGGCTATTGTTTAAACAGTCTTAAAAAACCAACGGAGCCACAGTCTGCTAAGCCTATGAATTACTTGTATCCTTAACCAGTCTGTGTAGGAATTTGAGTCATTTAAACCAAAAGTGATAGGATGGTTTAAACAGCCATTATGTGACAAACTGTAACCTCATTGGCCACCTGCTTGTGGTCTGGTATGACTGTGCAATCTTTTGTGTGTGTGACAACCTCATTGGTCACCTGCGTGACCAGGCTTGACCTCGTGAATTTTGCCTTTAAAAACCCTAGATTGTGGGCCACTAGGGGTCGCAGTATCAGCTCCCGAGCCTTCTCAATAAAGTTGCTTCTTTGTTAACTTTGGTGCGGTGGGCTCTTGTCACTCCGGACGACTAGGTGGGCTTGCCTGCCTGAGTAGGGGTCTTCCTACTACAATAACAAACTCCTTCCCTTAAAATCTCTGCAGTTGACTTTAGAGAGCATGGTTGCTCTGTAAAATAACATAGTCGCTTTAAACCTCTTACTTGTTCAAGTCCGTATTAAGGGCTGTGTGGATTTGACGGTTTCTGTGTCTGAATCTATGTTAATTTCCTAGGCATTCAGTATACTGTATTATTTATTCTAATGCCAAGTAAAACAAAGGTAAGATTGTACCTGGGGGTCCATAGGCCTGAGCATGGGTGGTGTCCGAGCAGGCTGGACTCCACTAATGCTAAAGGATTCCGACCTTGGGGGCAAGTTGGGGTCAGATATCCTGTTGGCAACCTTGTGTGGCATGGCAGGAGAGCTCTGCCGGTTCAGTCTTGACCGCTCTTCTACCTGGAAACCAAAGAAAAAGAGAAAAGAGCTTCATTGGCTAGAAGTCAGTTCTTTGCAGGAGGATTTTCTTTAGTCAACTGTAAGGCTTTGTTTGTATCCTTTCTTGTTAGTCCAAAGAGCCCAAACTTTTCATTTCTGCCCTGCAACCGGCATTTGTAGTGCATGCCTATAATCCGAGCTACTTTGGAGACAGAGACAAGAGGATTGTGGTTCAAAGCTAGCCTGGGCAAAGATGTGGAGACCCCATCTCAAAAACAAGCTAAGCATGGTGGTGTGTAAAACTGTAATTCCAGTTACTTGGGAGGTGGAGGTAGGGGGATGGATGTCTGGGGGCCATACATGGGAAGGTTAGTGTGAGACTTTGTCTAAAAAAAACAAACCAAAAAAGTAAAAGGGCTGAGGGCATGAATCAAGTGGTAAAGAACTTGCCTAGCAAGAGTGATATCATGTGTTCAATCCTTAATACTAAGAGGAAAAAAAAGAATTTACAAAAATGCACCCACCCCACTATCAGATCAAACACAACAGTTACAGAAATGCAGAACCCTTGAGCCAGTATCCATGGATTACCCATTATCTGCTATTTCACCAGATAGGAATCCAGCTGGTGGGCATTTATCTTGCATTGATTGCAGTAATATCTTGCTAACTGGTTACAAAGCCTTGGGGTCAGCCAGGGAATGGTTTGCACCCTAGATAATCAAAGGGAACTGCAGCATGGGGAAAAGAACAACTTGTACTTGTATGACTCATGGGCCAGGGACAGGAAGAGTCAGGGGCAGGTTGATGGGAGGGAGGTGGGGAGGGGTACTGTTCTTCCCAGGCTTGCTAGCAGATAGGCTTGTGGGCGTTGGCAGCTGCCTGCTTGATGAGCTTGGCCTGTCTCTCACATACTTCCTGTATCATTTTCTGTTTGTCTCTTCCGGCTCTTTCTTTTCTATTGTCTTTCTGCTCCCTAAAATACATTGTTCCTCCTCCCCCTTTCCATTCTCAGCCAGGACTCTACTGCCTTGTGCTGCCTTTCCCCACATGTGTTCTGCTTTCCTCCTCCCCTCTCCTCTCATGAGCTTTGTAGGGTCTATCTTAGCCCAAAGCAGGTAACAGATCCCAAACCCTATATGGGGGAGGCTTACAGTACACATGGGTAATCTTTGTAAAACAAGTGAAAATGATTGTTAGTAGAGAAGACAGTTGTTGAAGACAATTTTAAGGAGACATTTAGATCCACAAGTTGTACACTTTTAAGACATAATACAATATCTACTACAACTCCCATGAGGCCTGTGATTTTTTTCTTATAGACCATTTTTTCTTTTGCTAGTACTAGGGACTGAACTCAAGATCGTATGCTCTCTCATGGTCACTTGATTGGCTGGTGCTTTACCATGTGAGCCATGCCTCCAGCCTAACTTTTTGCTGGCTATTTTGGAAATGAAGTCTTATGGACTTGTCTAGGTTAGCCTTAAACCATGATACTCCAGCTTCTAAGCAACTAGGAATACAGGTGTGAGCCACTGGTGCCCAACTCAGCCCTATCTTGTCATATGTCTTCCACTTGTCTGGGGCTTCCCAAACCTGCCAGGGCAATGCCACCACCTCCCTAGCCTGTAACCACTTGGAGTGACCTCTTAATTATCTCTGCTTACTCAGTGTTTAGATTTATCTCAGTATTTTTACAAACAGCTACAAGTTTTCATTCATTTTGTTTCCTGGCCTGAAATACAAGTTCAAAAGCACTATATTCTTCTCTATCCTTCTTACTCAGAATGTCTTTTAAAAAGCCTGTCATATTAATCTCCAATATAAACCACAGGATAAGAACCAGTCCTTCTGCTTTTCCCGAGACGTTACTCCAGCATCTCTCCCCCATGTGACTGTGCATGCAGTGTGCAGACAACAGGCATCCAGTTGACTTCAGTTTTAAAATTCCACATCCTGCAGGTTCACCACTTACTATGAAAAGCCAGGACTAGAAACCAGGCTATGTATACTGGATGGCTGCATGAACACCAAGTATTATGGCAGCAAGAATTATTCAGCTGCTGCACTGAAAAAAGAACGGGCACCTTTAAGAAAGACCAGATGGTAGGGGAGAAACAAAGGAGGAAGCAACAATGCTTGATAGAAAATGTACTCATTACCTTGCTCATGTAACTAACTCCTGTACAGTATTTTTACAATAAAAAATTATTAAAGAACAGAGAGATGCAAAGATTAGCACCAGACTGAGACTGCTTTGCAAATATCAGATCCCTTGAAAAGAAGGTGATGGTTCTGGACCACTGGAATTGATCACAAATTCTCCATTTTCTTACTTGGCAATGATACTATAATAAATGACCTGTCTAAGGTACTCCTCATTCTCTGAACTCCTATTTTCTAAGCATTTATGTTTGAACTCAGGAACCCAAGAGATCAGAGAGCAGATAAACACCTGGCTCTCCACATTGTGCCAGTTCCTTGTTTCCCCAAATTCAGAAACCAAGTGTATGTAGAGTAAGAATACCATTGGTCTGTTTCTTCCTGCAATGTCCTAAAATACATGGTGTAAAAAAACAATTGTTAAACTCGGTAAAGTGCATCAAGATGGGTCTAAGATGCTGAAATTTCCTGGGTTAAAGTTTGTCCAAACAAATTTAAAATTTATGAGAAGGCTGTAACAACAAGGCATCTGGTTACACAGACTGTCTCAAGACAATCTTAATCTAATAACTGTAGGAAGGAATACTGCCCAATTAATCACACCAAGGAATCCCTTTAAATCCTGAAGTGAAGATATTGCATCAGATACCGGAAGTGCTGCTTCACAGAGAAAAAGCTGGATGGCATATTGGTAATATTTTGACACTAGACAAAAGCCCATAACCTGATTTGTGACAAACTATTGAACAGAAGGAAAATTGATACACAAGACAAAAAAAAGTTTCCTCATTCACAGAGTAAGGATAGATGTGATTAAAAACTGTTGACACAAGTGAGATATGCTTTACTCCACCTGAGGATACTTGAAAGAAAAAGTGTATTAGCAAAGTTTTAACCTCCCAATCTTAAGAAGATGCAGATACCCCAAATGGGCATTCTAGAAACATCATATACAGTGTTACATCCAAATATATGTTACTAAGACTTTCTAGTTGAAGGGATTACCAGTGAGTGCAAAGGACAATATTAGTACAGACTGATAAGTTTCAATATCAAAGCAGTTTTTCTTATTTAAAAAATCATTTGGCGGGCTAGGGATGTGGCTTAGCAGTAGAGTGCTTGCCTAGCATGCATGAGGCCCTGGGTTTGATTACTCAGTGCTACATAAAAAGAAAAATCCATAAGTGGCACTGTGGCTCAAGTGGTAGAGTGCTAGTCTTGAGCAAAAGAAGCTTGGGGACAGAGCCTAGGCCATGAGTTCAAGCCCCACAACTGGCACAAAAAAAAAAAGTGAGGCAGTTAGTTTTCTCACAAGCCCTGGGTTTAAACTCCATATGACTCCCTCCCCCAATCATTTTCATGCATAAACTAAGTTTTTAAAAGTTTGAATCATGTCTGCAAAGTTATATACAGGGAGAAAGAAAATAACTCAGAAATAAAATCTGCTCCAGGCAGGAGTATGTATGGTCCACTGGGTACTGCAGGAGTGCTAAAGCCAAAGAGATACAGAAAAGCTCTCCAAGTGCAGAAAATCTAAAAGTGAATCTGGGATTATGGGAATCACCAAACATTCAAAATAAACAAAAGTGCATTTCAACAAGTATAGAGAAACAATCAGTAATTGTTGCCAGATAGTTTTGCACATTTGAAAACAAGTCGTAGGTTATGTCCTGCACTTCACAATAATGAATATCTTTTGAGAATTTCAAAATAAAATTACAGAAGTATGTTAAAAAATGTTACTAGTAAAAGTATATTTACCATGTCACATATTGGTGCATTCTAATGATATTTTTATATGATGTTAGTTCATGGGTCCATGCCAGCCTTAAGAGGCTGAATTAAATTAATGACAGAATAAAACATGATTGTGTGGGATCCTTTTACTCTCCTAACTGAACAAAATAGTTTGGTTTGGGTTTTGTAGCAATGCTGGACAAAGAGAAGTGAATCAATAACTTTTAAGTGCTCATGGTGTGCACAAAGAGCTGAGTCACATGGTTCTTTGGTAGAGGGTGATGGTTATGAGCAAGACTGGGGGTGGGTCTCCCTGTCTCTGGAGCTTCTTTGAGCACTGGAGAGCTCACATTTCCATGGAATGCTTGAAATGCAATCCTTTCTGAAGAAAGATACCTAGACTACTTTTCCAAGAGTCACTTCCAGTCAGCATTCCAGAAAAAAAGCTTATATCCCATCTGAATGCAGCAGTAACTGAAAAGTAATAAAGCAAATCCTTAACAGACTGAGATGGAAATAAAGTAGTGCTTATTTTCACTTAGAAGAGGTGAGTGAGGAAAGAGAAATCAAAATAAACAACAGGCTACAATAGTCCTGGAAATCAAATTCAGACATTGGTTATGTTTAATTTGCAGTTGCACAGTGCCTACTATTAATTGCCATATGTGCATTCATAATTGCTATAAAGCAGGAAGCTACAACCTAGGAAGGAGAGGAGACTTGTCCTGCCTCTGCAATCAGGCAATGGAGGAATCTGACCTCCAACATATTCCTCAACATTTCCTTCCAGGTTCCCTTTATGTTAAATCTTAAGAAACATAAGCGGAAACAGAGGTACTAGAAGAGAAATGAAAACTTTCTAAACAATAATTTGGGAGCCTCATGTATGTATAAAAATAAAAATAAAAAACTGTCAGAATAGAACATAGAAAATCATAGTGCAGAAAAATCATAGTGCAGAAGGAGGCTTTATATCCAGGTATTGCAAAGTCCCAGTGGGGTGATGGGAAGTAAAGAGATGTTGATAAGATTGTTTGCCAAGTAAAACTACAGCCAGCCAGGCACAGCTGGCTCACACCTGTAATCCTAGCTACTCAGAAGGCTGAGATCTGAGGATCATGGTTCAAAGCCAGCCTGGGCAGGAAAGTCTGTGAGACTCTTATCTCCATAAACCATTCAGAAAACCGGAAGCAGCGCTGTGGTTTAGGTGCTAGAGTGCTCCCCTTGAGTTGAAAATTTTCAGCTCAGGGTCCAGTGCACAGGCCCAGAATTCAAGCCCCACGACTGACAAAAGATAAAACAATAAAACTACAGCCAGATGACTGGTATGCACTCAAAAGAGAGGGGGAGAAGAGAGTACTTGATGAAGTGTTAAAAAAAATTAAAATACAGTCTCATGCAACACATGTGAACAGAGCATTTTGTCACTGTTATGTGCGGGTGCATTTAAAAAAAAAAATGATGTAGGGGAGCAAGTGTAGAATCTAGTACGCAGTTTCTGCCAGGCCCAGACAATCACATGACATTTTAAGGTAAAGGAAAAAAGTTCCCTATTATCCAACATCCAACAAGTTTAAAAAAAATGCTCTAAATGTTCAACAGAACATTGTTGATGCTTTCACGGAACAAATACTACTCCATCCAATCAGAAGTGGTAGAGAATTTGAATGGGATGATCCTGCCTCTCCATCTTAGAGACATTAAGGTTACTTTCTGGCTGAATTTGAAAATTAAAGCCAATGAAACTTTTAAACCAGACAGAATGCTCAAAGAAGGGCAAGGAGTATCTTAACAAGAGTTGCAAATGATCAAATGTTTTCATTTGTTTTAACTACATTATTATTGACTAATGTAATGAGGAATGTAGCGCACACAGCTGGTTTATAAAATGAAGATGCAAACAAACAGAGAGGATGAAGTACTGCTGATAAAAATTGATTTGGAGAAGAAGAGAAAATGTGGGTGGAAAAGTAGTCAAAGAAAGAGCAAAGATCTTGGCAGGAGGTAGAAAGCTGTTGGAAAACGAATGTGCGAACAGGAGAGACTGCAGTAGTAGAAGATGGCTGGTGGCATCTTCCTCGGCACATGGCCCACAACATCCAGGCCCTGCATCATAGGAGACATCCAGGTGGCCACCCTGCCCACTCCTCCCTGGTAAGGATGCTTCTATACTGTCAGAGGATACATTTTGAAAAGAACTTGGAACCTTTTATCTTTTTTCTAGGAAGAGTTAAATCATTAAAAATGATATAGTTTAGCCATTGAAAAACTATAATTTCTGTTTATATGTACAGTTTTATAATGTGTATAGTTGTTTGGCTACTCTGAGCTCTCCTTTCCTAGTGTTTTTAGAGAAATCTGTAGGTAATGCTTTAGTAGAAAATTCTGTATATTACTAATAAGAAACATTAAAAGATCAAGAAGAGAATAATCCTCATATTCATTTTTATGCCTGATTTAAGTGGGTATAAAACCATGAGAGAGACTTAATTGTCCTTATTTGTACAACAGTTGTTCCAGTTCCCAAATTAGCAGTCACTCTTTCTTTTACCACTTATACTTGGGAAACTATTTCAAGGATAGACCAAGGGTCAGTAGGAAGCTAGATTATGTTAGCCGCTCCTAGAAGAGGACTAAACATGAAATCCCTCTAGAAATTTTCCCCTATAGTTAGGAAATTGAAGCCCAAAGGAAGAGCACCAGCTGCTGAGAAGCCAGGGACCCTGCATGATGTCACACACTGCAGGTGGCTCACACTTGTGGTGGGACCCTCACATCAGGAGTGCTTGATGATATAGACACATGGTCTACATGTCCCATTTCTGGCTTTCCTTTATAATGAGAAGCCTGGCCAGGAAGTACAGGGGGTTTAAGAGGTCTAGAAATCTGCTTTGATGACATCAGCATAGACTTGTGCCCAAGAATGCCAGTGCTTGGAAATTGGAGACTAGTTCTGAATAGAGAGGGTAGGCCAGAAGATCGAATGACATAGACAAAAAGTAACCAGAGAATGCTGAACTCAAAGTAGGTAAGTTCAAACCAGACCAGGCTGGGTAGAGAACAAAGGAAAATTGCTCCATGGTTTCCCCCTTTTGCATATGAGTTTGCTGCCTGGGGAAAGAAGGAGCTCAGGGATGCTTTGTCAGTTTGAGTGGCTGGGAAGACAGGAGTTAGCCACTGTACATGGTCCATAGAGTTTTTAGATTTTTAAACTCATTAAGAGCTAGTTTCCTATAAACTCTTTGTGGCTGAGCAAATTTAAGGTAATTACTTTGGAAATATTTGTGAAATACAGGGAACCTTAAGTCCTAAAAAGGCATGCTACACGCACAAGCCTAAGGCCTGTGTACCCTGGCACCACAGGAAACAAGGTGACAGCATCCAGGGGTGGGCCGAGGTGATTCTGCTCAGGATCATCTGAGTCCTGACACATTCTTCTAAAGAAAAAACAGGAAAGTCCTCACACCACAAATTCTCCAGGATTCTTAGATAAAAGATATTTTTCTATTTCCTGTTGTTGCTTATAAAAACTTTACTATTTCCTCAAGGACAAATACATACTCAACCACACCAAAACCACATGTGGAGTAAAGTACCTTACTATTTCTCTGCCGAAATGATTTGGCTCCTCTAGAAGCAATGAATCCTATACTTCCTACTGACTGAACAACCAGACTGCCAGGGCATGGGTGCCCTTGTCCGCTCACCTCCTTGGCCCAGGCAGGCTTCTCACTGGGACTCATCCCCTCTTTGTAATGGTACAGTGGCTTCTTCTCCAGGGGCCTCTGCTCCTGCCGCTGATGCTGAAGGGACACCAAATAGTCCCTCTCTTGCTTTAGTTGTCTCTGCAGCCTTTCTGCTTGTCTCTGTTCTTCCAGTTGTTTGCGCTTATATTCCTGCCCAGGCCGGGGGGAAAAAGAATAGAGAAAAGTCCAGATGACTGCAAGGAACACCTCACATGGCAATGAAGCATGCTAGAGAGGCAGGTTAGTGCTAGTGACAAGGGAACGCACACACTAGTGGAACTACATACAGCAGAATGTCAGCTGTGCGTAGATTAAGTCCAGCCCTGTGTTAGTACCCCAAAAGAAAATGTCATTTAATGAAACCACTCCTGCTTTAGTGGCCACCCTGCAGAACATCACCATGAGGGAAATGACTTGTCCCTGATGCCTTGCAGAGAAGATGGGAACCATGCTATCTTTGTATGGTCAGCTCACAGTCCCTAAAAGGAGCCATTCCCTTCCTGTTGCAAGAATTAAATCATTCCAACATGTATAATTAAACACAAAACTCAAAAAGAAAAAAAAAACAGAGATACTACCTAAATTGTATTAATAAAACTTGGCCTAGCGCTGGGAAGGTAGCTCAGTGGTAGAGTGCTTGCTTTGCATGCATGAGGCCCTAGGTTTGATTCCTGAGCACCACATAAACAGAAAAAGCCAGAAGTGGCACTGTGGCTCCAGTGGTAGAGCGCAAGCCTTGAACTGAAGAGCTGAGGGATAGCGCCCAGGCCCAAAGTTTAGGGCCCACAACAAAAAACAAAACAAAAAACGTGGCCCAACAAAAGCAACTTATGTATAGCCTAAAAAGTACAAGAATGTGCTTGAATAAAAATTTCAGTTTAAAAAGACATCAAGAAGCCCATTAGGAGAACAGTATAGTAATAATAATAATGAAGCACATCAAGTGGCCACTGCACGAGCAGGGAACGTAAAATGTGCCCATCATAAGGGCAAACTAAGAGTCTACAAGTGAAATAGGACTGACAGGTCAAGTAGGTACTTAATGGAAGAGGTGAATGATTGTTGCAAATGGCCTTCAGTATTACTCTGCAATAAACACAGTGGGTCACAAAAGCAGCTGGAACTTAAGTAAGGCTGGATTTGTGTTAGGTTTTTATGAAAGAGCCAATAAAAATATATAACTATTGTATTTAATGTATTATATACTGGGCAGATTGCATCAGGAAACATATTTGAGTTTCTATGAGATTTTGAGGTTCACAAGGCTTGGAGGACCCCTGGTTTTTGGTTTTGTCATCACTGGTGCTTGAACTTGGCACCTCACATTCTCAGCTTTTTGGTTAAATCTACTACTTGAGCTACAGTTTCCCAGCTTTTTGGTGGTTAGTTGGAGACAAGGGTCTATGGATTTTTCTGCCTGGGATGGCTTCAAACTGTGATCCTCAGATCTTAGCCTTCTGAGTAGCTAGGATGACAGGTGCGAACCACGTGTGTTGGTGACTCCTGGTTTTGAAGTGTCATGTTAGGAGGAAGAGACACATGATACACACACACACACACACACACACACACACACACACACACACACACACACACACACACACACACACACACACACACACACACACACACACACACACACACACACACACACACACACACACACACACACAGAGCAGGGCAGCAGGCTTGAAGCTTTCCCATTACCAGAAGTAGAGCTTGTTCATGCAGTAGCTGCTGCTGTAAGATCTCTAACTGTCTTTGCTCCTCCTCTAACTGTCGCCTGATGTATTCCTGCAGGGAGAGGCGGCAGAGAGTTCGGAGAATTTGGAAGAACAGAAAGAAAAAGAAAGTAATTTCAAAGATGACAAGACCTGCCTGAGCAGGAGCAAAAGTAAGGATAGGAACCAAACACCCAACACCTCCTCACGGAATAGGAAGACTGTGCCACACCAAAGCCACACCCTTCAATGGAGTCAAAAGCACAGGCCTGGCAGCTGTGGACTGGGGTGGCTCAGTATTGTTACTACTTTACTTGGTCTTAATATACACAGTTACATTTTAAAGCTTTTCACTATTGGCTTTTCTTTATGGACTCTCTAGAATGAACTGTGTTAGAAAGTTTGAAGCTTGGTGCAGGCTGCAGTGTGGACTGCTGTCATGGTGTGCCTCTGCAGTGATCGTCCCACAGCGCCACTGGCTGGCAGCATAGGAGTCTAGTAGGGCGAGGGGCTCAGAGTCTCAGAGGCCACAGACTGCACGAGCAGAAACGCTCTTCTGAAGGGATGGAGTAGAGCTTGGCTCATTTTTCAGTTTCACTGAGAGCTTCCAATCAGATACCAGACAGAGCTGGTATCTAGAGTCAGAAGATCCAGGTGTGTCAGTGGCCTCTGACCTGGGTAGGAAGCAAGGCTCAGTGGGCGTTGCCAAAGCTGTGCATTTGACTTTTTGAACAGGTGAAGGAATAAAAACCTTGAGCGAGCAGTGCTGAGAGAAGGTGATCCACACCCAGAGCTGCCCGCTGCTGGAGTTCATGCAAGGGCCAAGGGCCATGTATGGATTCCACATGTGCTCTACCTGCTCATGCTCAGCGCGCCTCCTCTCCTCCTCCCGGCGCATCTGCTCCTCGTAGTGCCTGCGCTGCTCCCTCTCTTGCTGCTTCCGAAGCTCCTTCTCCCGCCTTTGTTGCTGTGGGCAATAAGCAGACAACCATGATGGCCCTGGACATGGGGATGCAGTAGACAAGGAGAGCAGCAGGGAGCGCTGCCACTGTGCCCATGAGCTCTTAAGGAGAGAGGCCTAACCCCTCCAGTGCTCCCTCTCCTGGGCTGTGGTGGGGAGGCACCATGGGAAGGGAGGAGATGATAGGGAGAGACTGGGGTCCTGTAGAACACTGCCATATCCCACGCAAGTGGATTTACACTGGCAGTTCCTGTGGAGTATATTTCCATGCTCTCAAACCAGGGTTAGGAAACGTCAGTGGCTTAATGGACTATTTTTCCATATCAAGTGATTTATGAGATTATTTCTTTGTGAGGTTTACATCATTCCATCATTGGGTCACAGCTTTTCAGGGCTAGAAAACATTACATTCAATACCATAGGGTGGCAGAGGGTGAACAGAACTCCCACTCAGTCACCATTCTTTCTCCTCTTGTGTCTGGAGCATTCATTCATAATATTCACTTCAACTTTTCACTCAGGTAAGACTCTTGTGCTCAGCAACCACCAACATCTTCACCTCATACAATTACCACATCATGGCAGTGGACAATGTGACAAGCACCTAAGATGGTTTTGGGTGAAGGCAGGTTGTATTATGACATAATGAAAACTTTGTTGCTTAAAAGGAAGACATAATAGGTTTGTAGAATAGTACACTGGTGCATCCTTTCAGAATGACTTCCTACCTCCTTCTAAAACTGAACTATTTAGTGAAAGCTGTCAGGAGTTAAACCAAAAAATTTTGAATTAGTGCAGAAGATACTACTAGCAAGTTCATCTCTGAGTGCAATAATTCTTGGTACTACCTGAAAAATTGTGTCTCCATGTAAAAGGTAAATCTATAACTCTTTTCGAATAAAACAGTTATGAACTTGAATTAGGCCAGACCTTTTAGGACAGCAAATGTATAATCCATCAAGTAAAGGAAAACGTTAACCAATTAAACTTTATATAAAAAGCTTTTGTTTTTCAAAGACAATAAGAAAATGAAAATAAGGTATAAACAGGGAGAAAAAATATTTGTAAGTGATATATTTGGTAAAGGACTAGAATTAGGGATGAATTCCAACCATACCTCAGTTATAAGCCAACCCAGTCATATTATTTGACTAGACATTTCAGCAGACCACATTTAGGGAGAGTGAGCACATGGAAAAATGCTCAACATCATCAGTAATTGTGAAAGTACAAATGAAGACCACAATGTTATCATAGTATACAACTACTATGAGTTACAGTATTACCAAAAAGGTAGGTAAGTGTTGATTAGAGAATGTGGGAAATTATTACATGTTTTATCTTCATCATAAAATCTGAAATAAGTCTTATCCTTCCCATTTTGTAAGAGCAAAATGAAGCACAGAGAGCTTGTTCAGGTCACATCTCTTCAAGATCATGCCCAGTAAGGACTTCAAAACCAGCAATGTGTCTCCAGCATGTAAGCTCAATTATTACAACAGATGGAAAAAAAAGAGTGATAAGTCAGAAGGGACTGGTTCTTCATTCTCTCAAAAATTTTAGGAGACGTTAAAAACTAAGCCATGTAGTTATAGCAACAGTGGTGCTCAAGGGTTAGTGCCATTCCTCATCTCTAGAGCATTTAGAACCTTGTGGGAAATGTAAAGGATTTTTCTGGTTGTTCCAGTGACTGGGGAACATGACTGGCATTTAGCACCAGGTCCAGAAATGCCAAATATCCTGCAGTGTGTAGGTATATCGCACAATTCAAAGTGTTTCCCCACATGTGTCCATGGCATCTACTTTCAGAAGGGCTACAGATCCTTTGTGTCAGATCTCTGGAGCGGCATGGGATTTCTTATTCCTCACATGTGAGCTTCAGAGGGAACTGAGCAGAGGCCCCATTCTCCATGACGCTTTACTGCATGGCCGTGAAAGCATGAGGTGCCAGGGACAGACTGGACTGTGTCCATGTCACATCAGCAAGCCATCTCTGTACAACCAGGAACCAGAGAACTTTTGTACAGATCTCTGTCACAGTCCCCGCTAAGCTAACTACAGATACTCAAAACACCCAGAACTCCCTAAGAAAGCCTTCCTGATGTAGCTCTCACCATAGCCCTCCACATCTGGTGCCTTCCAGTAACCTCTGAGCCTCAGATGTTGTCTTTTGAGACAACATCTATCATTTCCAGCTTGACAGTTGCTGTCCATTTTAAGATTATAGGAAAAGGGTGGACACTAGTTTCATGCAACCAACTGACATTACCAAACAGACCAGCATGTTCAGAATGCCTTAGACAGCTATGGGAAGAGGCAAGATGAAGCTGAAAAGCAGGGTGAGACCTCCCTGTGGAGCTAGACATGAAATCACAGGGCACTGGCAACAGAGCGAAGACAGGCTTAGCCTCCATGTGTCCCTCTGTTCCGAATGGAGACGCAGCCAAAGGACGAAAGGGTGAAAACATCTAGTATTCCAGTCACTCACCTCAACAGGGCTGGAGTGCATGCCAGTTTTGAAGTAGGAAGGCAAAATTTGGTGACAGTACGGTGTGTGGCAATGGTGATGGGGGCAGGGGGAGTTCTTGGCCAAGGGGCATGCTGGATAGCATGACAGAGAAAAGCATGAAAAGCTTGGACATGTTGGTTCCAGACAAGCAATTATTTGTTTTGCAGAAAAATAATTCAGGAGAATACGAGGCGACATCATCATCTGAGGAACCCACTGAATAATTTGCATTACAGACTCAACACAGAGACATTTCCAACATTCAACCAAGGGGACTCAGTGCCAGCACAGTGAATAAAATAATTATGTGTACGGATCTAGATCCTGGCAGGAAATAGCCATAATTTAGCTAGCATTTCAAGGTTTTTGTTTCTTTCAGTCCAACCATCAGTCTCTTAAGGAAAAAAAAATCAACGTTTTGAAGATAATAGTTGATTTTTATGTGACGGGGTTGTACATTTTCAACCTTGGTGCCAGGAATCAATACTGTTTTATAATTACATGCCATTCAGGTCCTCACACAAGGGTGGGTGGTATTGATTACAACTCAGGAGGTTCTGAACTTCCCAAGTACTGTGCAGTTTCTGAGAAAGACACTCAAAAGTGACTGCTAATTAATAATGACCTCATTCGGATCAGCCCTTGCTAACACTAACACATGGAGGCATCTGCCAGGGCTTTGCTTCCTGTGGTGAGGCTGGAAAAATAAGTTATTTCCCCAGCCTTGCAGGGCACCCTGCCAGTTTCCAGCTGCTGTGTCCCAATGTTGATGCCTTTCTGGAAAAAAGTGTTTTCTGTCGTCCTGTGTATGGGGCCGTTGAGGAGGCATATCAAAACGCATCAAGGAAAGACCAAGTCCTTGGCCTCAAGCAGACACCTTCGCAAAGCTTGGTGACTCTTGCTAGAGGTGACTCTTTGAGGGTAAGGTCTGTACTTGATTCCTGCACTGCCCTCCACCTCTCATGCAGGCCTGGTACCCAGCAGGTGCACAGAAGCAGAAACTTGGGACAGAGGAAGACAAGACAGTAGCCTCTTCAGTTTTTTTTTTTTGTGTGTGGCATTTTTCCTTCCTATCAGCTCTTCTGGCTTAAAAATGTCTACCTAATAGAAGAGAGTTGTTTTTTTTTGTTTTTGAGCATGGCTCATCAACTGTGTACTCCAGACGAAAAACTATCTCCTGCTATTCTCATACTGGGTCTGATGCCACAGATACTGGTTGCATATAGTGCAGACTGGATAAACAATGTAGGGGACAAAAGTCTTGCAGAACTTGAGACCAGACCTCTGCCCTCCTCTGCCCTTTGCTGACAACCCTCACAGGCCAGAACCAGAACATTCTTTTATGTTAAGCCCATACAAGGTTGGGAATGTTCTTCTAAAAGGTAAGTCACCTATAACAGATGTGATACTAACTTCCCATCTCAGGAAAGGTATGGAAATAAAATTAGTGTGGTAAGAGTCTAAGCTGGAAGGAATGGGAAAGAAAAGCTCAAATAGTATTTTCACATTATGTTCAAACTAAGCATAATGATACAGTTAAACAGAGACTTCTCAAAAGAAGCAGCAAAAATGGCCAATAAACACACAAAGAAATGCACCATATCCCTGCCGATAAAGGTAATGCAAATCAAAACAAGACTGAGTTTCCATCTCACCCCAGTAAGGACGGCGAGCACCAAGAACAACAACAAATAATGGAGGACGGATGAGGAAGAGAGGGAAAAAGAAATCTGTTACATACATTGTTGGTGGAAGTGCAGACTAGTGCAACCAACTCTGGAAGGTGGTTTGGAGATTCCTCAAAAAACTAAATATAGAATTACCCTGTGTCAAGCCATACCACTCTTGTGCATCTGCCTAGAACATCACAAGTCAGGATATGACAAAGACACTTGCACATCCATGTTCTCTGCTGCATTCTTCACAATAGCCAAGTTATGGAAAACAACCCAGATGCCCTGAAACCGATGAGAAAGTCAAGAAAATGTGATACATTTACACAATACAGTTCTCATCCTGAAAGAATATTATGTCATTTTCAGGGAAGGATCTAGACAAAAAGATCATGATAAATGAAGCCAAGCTCAAGAGATACATGGTGCATGTTTCTCTCAAATGTGGAAGTGAGATCGAAAATACAAACATGCATGATAACAGATACAAGGTTCCATGCAGGCACACACAAACTGACTAAAGGACAGTATATTTGGGGGGGGGTGTTCCAAAGGGGTAACTTCTCTGAACAACTAGTGTAGTCATTATCAAAACGAATACCAGAATATGGAAGCATATTTTGAGGGAGGGCACAGGAAGTGGGGCACAGGAATAGAGTGAGGAAGGGTAAGAAAATGCAGTCATTATATTCAATGTGCATGATGTAAACAATGCACTAAGAAACAATGCACTAAGTAACTTAAGTGGGAGCGGGAGGGAGAAAAAGGGGAAAAAACATGGAAGAGGCAACACTGTACATACAACAGCTTTTGGAATGGAAACT